GTCATGAGAAGGAACGTCCTGCTTCTAGGCCGTCATGAGAAGGAACGTCCTGCTTCTAGGCCGTCATGAGAAGGAACGTCCTGCTTCTAGGCCGTGACGGAAAGGAACATCCTGTTTCCAGACAGTAATAGCTTCTTTTGCTATTGTTTAATACATGCTAAAAAAGGGACAGAGGCGATTGTTATGATGGTTACCCTGGGTGTGATACCTGGCACCTTTCTGACTGTAGCTGCACTTTCCAGAAGTGAACCTGCTGCCACTGTGATGCATTGTTTTTCTGAGAGTAGCTGTGCATCTTCATTGCTAAGCGACTGGAATTTTCCCTATGGTAATTAGCCTTTTCTATTCATAAATCTATCCAAACTGGGAGACTATGTGATATCAGAGGGGTGACAAGCAGACTAATTCAGGTCAACTTTCCTTTCCCAGTTACTATATTTACATTCAATGTATTTAGCACACTCTTTAATCCAAAGCAACACACATTTTTTTGTGTAAACAGACTCAGCCAGTCCCTGTAACAATTTGCGGTTACAGGCCTTGCTCAAGAAACTCAACGGTGTAACCATTCTGCCAACCAGGGGATTTGAACTGAATTTCCAATTTGAATTTGAACTTTCATTTTGGTGACGTACACACATTCATAAATATCCGTATATACACATTGACTGAAAAGGTCTAGGCTGAAGTTTTACTGTATTATACCTAACCTTTTTACATAACATTTTCTAATAGGTAACCCTTTCACTATTAGTTTAACCAATATAAATAATAATAATAAAAAAAAACTTCCAAATTGTTCACACAATGTTTAGTTTTATATTTAGTCTTATTTTAAAACATTTTTAAACAGAGTTCACATTCTGAATTCCTATTCTAAAATTCTTGAACTTTGACAGATATGCATCTATCTTTTTATATTTGCCCTTACCCTTGTTTTTTAAAACATACCTCTTTCCTTACCTCTGCCAGCAACCTTCCTATCACAGATACAGGGTCTCTGTGAGCCACACACTTCCCCAAAACTACACTATGTACCGCCATTGTATAAGATTTCCTTTTGACGCTCGGTGCTGGACACCAATCCCAGCTTATTCCCGCTCACAAAGTCTGTGCTTCTTCCTTCCATCCTCATGTCATGTGATCCTGTTCTCCACCCCGCCAACATGCCAATCAGAAACGCCCGGCAACCACATACTGCATGATGGGAAGGCGACAGAAGATAGCAGATTGGCGTAACTGTAATGAATGGCTGTTGGTGGGAGCCATGACGCACGCAAGCGTCCTCCTGAAGTGCATCTTAATTATCTCAGGCAGGACAAAATACAAAAGGCTGGACTCTGTGGAGAAGTGTGTAGGAGGGTGAGAAGAGCTGAGAGCCACAGTACTAATGGCCTGTTACTGAACATCTGACCAATCCCCCAACACCACGGGAAGGCGAAGGTCAAATGAGTCCTTCTCCAAACCAATTTGCAAATTCTGCAGGCAGGGGAGATTCTAGGATTGTTTTAAAGCAGAGGCATAAAAGGGGCCATAATTGATGGGCCATCTTTATTATTAGCCAATGATATGTTTTGAATTGGTGAGTGGAGAGGGCACTCCGGGAGCCAATCAGCTTTGAGCTGGGATCAGAGCCCCTGTAGCCCCGCCCCTGTATGAAGGGCAAAGGCAGCTGGTATAAGGGGCACAACTGAAAACGGGCAAGACAAGCGGAGTTTAATCTGAACATCATGCATGTTTTTGCAGCCAGCTAACACAAATGCTTGTCCTGTTACTCACCCCCAGGCTAGAGGAAGAGGTACAGAAGAGAAAAGAAGCAGAGAGTAACTTAGCCCTCTTTCGAAAGGTAAGTAAAGAAACCAGCATTTCTTACCAAATGACCCCTGTGTAGGATATCTGGATCATAACAGAACTAATCCCCAATATCTCAAAGGATGTGGATGATGCCACATTGACTCGCCTAGGGCTGGAGAGGAAAATCGAGTCTTTGATGGATGAAATTGAGTTCTTGCAGAAAATCCACGAGGAGGTGAGTGCTGCCCTCTAGTTTGTATCCATTGTATTGCAGGCAGCACCATGGGAGAAATGAAATGATGACTTATTCGCCATTGCCAACAGTACAGCTGTGTTGGAATGCTTTTCACATATCCACTCTTGCTCTCCTGAGACATACACATAGGTGAGAGTAACACTTGGGGTCAATGCACATGGTCAGCAATTTATCTAGCAACCTAGGAGCATTTTAGGGAGTCAAGGGCTCAACAGACATGTGACTTTTCTGCCGAGATCGAGATTTGAACCTTCCAATCCCAGGCGCCACTGAGCCCCACAGTACCCAAGGGCAAAACTAATTTCTAATAATTATAACCACAATTAATAAAGCATATGAAACCTGGAACCTCAAGTAAGCTATAATTAGGCATTAATAGCGGCCCTGCCCTCAGCACCCCCCACATTTGGCTTATTCCCGCACCCTCCAGGAGATCCATGACTTGAGGATGAGCATGCAGACCCAGCAGCAGCAGACAGAGGTGGACACCACCCCCAGGCCCGACCTGACTGCAGCTCTGAGGGACATCCGGGCCCAATATGAGAGCATCACCTGCAAGAATATCCAGGAGGCTGAGGAGTGGTACAAGTCCAAGGTGAGTAGGACTCACATACACCTTGACAGGTGACAGGCACCAGCCAATAAGGATCCTTTAAGGAGCCAATAAGGATCTGTTATTGTAAAATGTATGGCTGTGTCAATATCAAAGAAACTCAACAAACTGTGACTATGAGCCGGATGAGAACCTCAGTGTGTTTCAAGATCCGCAACCTTGCTATGAAACGGAATTTTTTTCCCAGTTCATTTTCCTGTCCTCTGAATGTACCGTGCAGGACCATAGGGTCACTGGTTCCAACTACATGCTGATTGGCCCCCACAGTGTCACCTCCCCTGTCAGTGACTGATTCCAAACAAATCATTGGCTAATGATAAGGATGGCCCTTCTTTATGAATCGCCCTCAGAAGCACCATCCTGTGTGTATCTTTAATGGCACAGATTGCAGACCTGACTGAATCCGCAGCCCGCAACATGGAGGCGATACGTCAGGCGAAGCACGACGCTAATGAGTCCCGAAGGCAGATGCAGTCGCTGACTTCCGAAATGGATGCTCTGAGGAGCACGGTAGGGCTCCACCACTGCTGGGTCAAAGACTCCATGATATATGTCATTAGCTACTGTGTTGCATGCTGGTTCTTTCCCCTCTCCTGTGTTCCTTCCTTATTATATACCCGGTGACATCCCCATATCTCACTGTGGGTGAACCGCACACCCTGATTGGCTGTAGAATGAGGCTCTGCTGAGGCAGATGAGGGAGATGGAGGAGAAGTTCGCCGAGGAGACGAGTGGATACCAGGGTGCCGCGGCTCGCTTGGAAGAGGAGATCCAGCGACTGAAGGAGGAGATGTCACGCCACCTCCGCGAGTACCAGGATCTCCTCAATGTCAAGATGGCCCTGGACATTGAGATCACCACCTACCGCAAGCTCCTGGAGGGCGAGGAGAACCGGTACTGAATCTTCTTACTTTGTGACCGTATTAATCAAGTCAAGCCAAAGTCAAAGTATCTTTAAGGTTGCCTCAGCTCCATGATACGCGAGTCATACGGTGAGATGAAATATCGTTTTTCTTGGTCGTAGTGAAAATACAAGTATATGTAAAAAACATAAACCATGAGAAATATAAGACACCAAATTAAAAAATTATGGAATTCAACACTCAAGACAAAATAAGACGTAAAACACAGTATAAAAATCCAGATCAATGAAAATATGTTTCATGACTGAGGTTGTTCATGGAGAGTAGTTTCCATCCTAGGCAGGAGACCCTTTGGTCTGAGTCCAGGAGGTGCACATACAGTATGAGGCTCTCTGTAGTATTTCTCTCTCATGGTTAACCATCAGGTGAATCCATCACCCCTTTGTCTGCCTCTTTCCTATAGAATAACAGCTCCTGTTCACAACTTCTCCTCCCTTAACCTACGAAGCACAGGTGAGGATCTGGAACACACCTGCATTGAAGACGACTCACAGGCACACTGGCTGACAACCACATAAACACTAAGACCCAGGCTAACACACCCTATGTGGGGAGGTCATGTCGTCAAAATCCCATGGCTGATGGAGAAATCATATCACTGTTAGGACCTTGAACAAGACCCCAATTGCTCCAGGGACCCTGGAAGACCGTGCTAAATATATATATATATGTACACACATCACAACCAACAAAACTTATGTATGCATGCAGCTCCTGAATGTGCCATTCTGTCCTTCAGTGTTGACCTGCAGCTCCATCCCACCTCATTGCAAATTAACTCATCCTATGTTGCCATCTCCTCTACATAGAGTTTGACCGCACCCTAGACACGCAGACCAAGCGGATGCTGCTGATCAAAACCATAGAGACACATGATGGAGAGGTCAGCAGTCTCAGCACATTCCAAACTGTTCAAAAGCACCACCTGTCAGGATATTTTCATATTTTTTGTTTGTTTTCAGTTTTCACATGGCTATCCAACTAACCCCCTGTGATTTCCCTCTCCATAGGTGGTCAGTGAGTCCAGGAAGGACAGAGAATTTGACAGAGATGTTTAGAGAAGTGCCAACGTGCTTGTCACAGAAGAAGAAGTAGCCAGTCGAGAAAGGAAAAAGAAAACACGACGAGGTCATACTTCCTTGTCGAATTTTCAACATCTGGAAAATCAGCATTGCAACATACTTAACCAAAAGCTGGGGTGTGTCCTGTAAACTCCAGAGAGAAAAGAAAGAGGAGCATTTTCTCACTTACTGACTGTTATACTGAGAGAAAAAATAGCCTTCCCAAGTGCACCAGCAGTCAGTTTTGTGTTGTTCCTATAGTAACCTCATTGCATTTTGATATCTGTATCTAAGTCAGTAACACGCCCTCACACATTATTATTTTTTAGTCATACCTTAAAAGTATTCTTTGATCTCCACCAATAGTGTTTTGATGCCTTAAGCAACGTCTGCGCATCATAAATCAGGGTTTTCGCCGGAGAAAATTAAAGTATAATAGTCAAATTAAAAAGTGTTATGTTCTTTGCCGTGGGTCATATTAGAGTTACAATCCGTCGGCGTTTTCTGAAAAATCATCCAATTACATCTTAATAAGTATTTAAGAAAAAACACGAATCTGTAATTGTCATTTGTCCGTAAAGATACAATCACTGAGCATGCAAAGGCATATGCATACATGGCCTATATATAAATGCTTGTTGTGTTTTCATGCATACAGTACCATGCAAAATTATGTTTAAAGATATTTGTCAGGGGCAAGTGGCATTTACTTGATTAGAAAATATACTACAAATATACTACAAACTAGCATAGTATATAGAATACTGTAATACACAGAGGCAGAAAAAAATGACCAGTTTCAGGCATGGCATCTTATGGGTGAATAAAAGTACATGAGTCCTATTCTTGGGGGCACTCCAGCCATTTCATGTATTCGTTAAATTTCACCCAATTAATTCACTCAATTGGTTAATTACTTTCATGAGGTATTGATTAGTCAAGCGTGGCATGCTAGCCATGGCCATTCAGGGTGTACTCCTGCTCTGTCTCGTATGCTTCCTGGGAGACCCTCCAGGGGGGGTGTTCCACGAAGAAGGATTTCTCGGTTAGCTGGTTTTAACTTAGCTAGAACTCATTATTGTCCAATAGAAATGCTCCTTACCTAAACTCTTATTGGACAATCATGAATTCCAACTTTAGTTACAACCAGCTAACCAAGAAATCCTGTGGCCTGTACTACGAAGTGGGGTTACTGGCTTATCAGGGTAACTTGTTGGATTTAAGGTACCACATTTTAAATAGACTATATATTTGTTCACTTACATTTTGCCCAGACTACCTTAAATCCGACAAGTTAGCCAGTAACCCCGCTTCGTAGTACAGGCCCCTGCTTCGTGGAACACCCCCTGGTTCTTGCGCAACCTCGACCTGAACTGACGGATACTTACACCCACGAAGTTTTGGTGTTATTCATTATGACCACCAGAGGGAGCCAACATTCTCATTTTAAAATGATTACAACACCATTCCACAGCAATAAAAAGACAAATAAGCAAGGAAAATTTGTAAATTAAAACTTTAAAATCTTTAAAATCACTCTGAACTCTAATTATCATTGCTGGTTCTTTGTGTGCAGGCGATCAAGTCAGTCAAATTAATCAGGTAAATCCTACAACACAATCATGGAACAGTAACAGCTTTTATAACCTAGCTCATACATATGAGTCTCTTTTATAGGAAACTTTGTTTTTTTAATGTGACACTCAGGTCAGATTCCAGTTTTTTCAAATACGCCGATTTGTGACTTGCTAGTGATAGTTAACTCATAATTAGAGGTGAGTGTAAATTTCGTTAAATCACAACATCTGTCAGATAGGAAATTTCGCTAAAAGCTAGTTTGGCTTTAAATATTTCATTCCAAAATACAATTATTACCTGGGGTAAATAGACAACATATACAGTCCGATAGTTTCTATTGATGCAAGTTAGATAACGAGTCAAATTGTATGCATGACGACACTGAAGTACAACCTTCTGGTTTATGCAATCACCCCTGAGATGCTCTTAGATTAGTTTTTTTTCACACCATACATGTAAAAACAACTCAACATCTGTTTATCTTATAAAAGTGGCTTATATACTTTCTCCTCCAAAGATATATAAACTCATGCATCTTTCCAAGGCATGAGCACCATGTCATCCTTGTCCGTGGTATTTTAAAGCCCTGGTCTGTCTGTCACTTCGCATCCTGAGATCTTCAGCTTTTCACAGTCAAACTCTCCCTGCCTTCTGCAGCTGTATTGGACTCCACTCCCCACATCTGGCCTACATTAACCACTTCCTGCCAGATTTATCCGGTCAGCCCGGAGTGTGAGGGATGGAGAAGTAGAGTCGTCAAAAGATAAACATAAGCAGGAGCCCTTTAAGCCGGAGGAGTGATGTCCAGCAACAAATAAATCCGGTGTGGTCAAGACAGTAAATCACAACAAGCTCAGCAGTCCTGTGTGTTTTGTTGGGACTCATAGTAATGTACAGAGCCCTTAAAGAGAAACATTACAGTATGTAGGTCAACTTTTAAAGCGGAAGAGATTTAGACTATATTTTAATTGGGATTTAAACCAAACAAACATTACACATTTCCTTCAGTTTGCCAGTCCTGGAGATCAAATGAAGTTCTTAATTACAGCCTCACCACCATCCACTCATATCCCATTATGTCATAACCCTATGTTTATAATTAACACTAAAACCATTTCTTTCCCAACATGGTGTCTTAGAGGAACAAAAAGCTGGGGACAATTATCCAGTGATGACCTATAATATACCAAACACAGCACATCCAATTAAAAGAAGCCATTAGGAAAGAAGTAAACAAATATTACAAACCAATTGGCAAATCCTACACAATAACATGACATGGAATTCTGAAATCTATCCAATGCAATATAAATTCCTTCACAGAACTCACATTACGAATCACAATTAAACTCTACCTCATGGGGGTCATCGGAAAAAATACATGACCACCTTGAGCAATGATATTAAACATTTTGATGATACCTGGTCTCCCTGCTCACAATACCTTCCGATTCCTATATCCCCTTGTCTATAATATCTTAGACTAATATATATATATATATATATATATATATAGCAAGGTACCTGTTATTTCATCTTTCCCCCTTCTTCATTTGCAAATGTTTTCTATCTACCATGCCTCATATTGTCTTTATTATCAACAAAAAAAGACACATTTCCTGTAGAATGAAATCTTGAACAATAATACAGACTTTGCAAATTATACAAAACGCTTAAGCGTTATATTAGCGACATTAACTTAGTATACGCTTTTCATTCTCTCACATGTTAATTGTTCTAGCTGTTTTTCTTTAAATATCTTTGTAATTGGCTGACAACATCAGTTATAGCTACTTTCGACCACCCATTAGAAGCAGGACTTGCCTTCTTGGATTTTTTTGCTTTTCTTTTTTTAGCTAACGGATTGTGCTGTTTACGTTCAAATCTCCGTCAGAAGGCGGCTCTGTGAATGACTGTGAGATGCCTGAGAACACAGCTCCATTCAGGGCATATTATGGCCGGCTTTTCTCTCCCTCACTCCCTCTCTTTTCCTTCTCCTCATAGAAATGCTTCAGCCGTTGGTTACATCTGGTTGGTATGCTGCAACTGAATGGCAATTCATGTAAATTGGGAGGGGGGGGGAGGGGGGTGCTGTTTCTCATGCAGGACCAGTTTACAGTATGTGGGTGTTTTTATTCATACACTACACCAATTATGATTTCATTCTCTAATTGGAATTATTCGAAATCAGAAACGATCTTGCAGTTTTCCCATAAAATGACAGATTAGGAATCCAAGGAGTCAATGGTTTCTGTATGGGAAAAGTAGATTTTGTACTACTAGTTGACTATTTTTACATGAAGCGTCATGATGTAGTATAGTGTATCCAGCACCTTCTGTTGGTTTAGCTTAATTCAGCTGCTGTCAAGGCCCCAAACATTCACTTTTGTTATATTCAAATGAAAATAACGGCCACATGCAAGGCCAGGGTTGCCACGTTGGGGAAAATCCCCATTAATCTATAGAAAATTATGAATAATTGCTTTAACCGATACCTTTGTATAAAATGAAATATGTACTTGTAGAAAAAAAGCAACATTCTCTCTGCTGGTGTGTTTATAATCTGTGCTGTTTTGAGTCCATGTTATATGGAATTACTAGATATGGAAAATAAAACTTCATCGTAGGCATATATATATATATATATATATATGCACTGAATGGCTTATTTTGGAACTGAGCATAAAATCTTTAATATGATTACACATTTAAGGTAAAATGTGTCTTCAAACTTTCCTTGCACCGCTGCTGAGATAAGGAACAGAAAAACAATTAAGTGGAATTCTTGTTAGGAGAAAATAGTTTCCACACTACAAAGTTGCTATATATTTAACTTAAGCGTTTAAACATTAAGGATAAAATGATAATGAACAGTGCACTGCGTGAGATTTTTGCGCGCGTGTTGACCGTAAAAATAGAGGATCTGGCAACCCCCGTGTGAGCTTCGCATGTCGCTGCGTCCCCGCGGCCACCCTCTCGCCCCAGCCGGCACAGATGGTCCCAGGATCGCCTATGATGTCAAACACTTTCAGCTGTTGCTGGCTTAGCAGGAAAGAAACTCCGATGAAACTTTTTGGTGGGGAATTAAAGAAAGCCTCGGCAAGCGAGCTACATATCCGTGACATCAGTTTTAAAACAAGAAAAAGAAGTGAACGCGGCGTGATATAGGGCACGCCAGCATTACCAGTTAGCTAACTTTTTCCAGACTCATGTCTCCGATCCAGCATTGGGGAGGGGGAATGCGCTAGCTAATATAGCAACACGTCAAAATAGTCAATAACCGACTTGCAGACTGTTATTACTTCGCTCCGTTGTAGCCTCTGAAGTGTTTTTTGGATGTTTAAAAAAATAAAGGAAAAAGAAAGCGTCGATTCGCCAATTCATAAGTGACGGGTGGCATCTAAGAAGAACATTTAAGGATAAATCTACATCAGTATTCCCATCAGAAATGGGCCGACTGCTCGAGGGGGATATACTGGTCAGTTTGCGAGCCTGCAGCGAACGGAAAGCGGCGAAATAAGCGGCCCACCTGTTTGTTTGGGGCTTTTATCCGCTTTCACTTCGGTTTTCTTCGTCACCGACACAGTCCTACGCGGCCAGGTAAACAGGTATGTTAAGTTTAGCTGGCTACACGCACTATTTATATAAGATAACTAACTGACGTGCGAAAAAGACTAATACTCCACTTGATAAACTTATCATTGCTCATCGTGCTTATTTACTGTTACGCTAAACTGGCTTTAATTATTGCTTTTTGTTCGTTTTATGACCGATCACCTACCTAGAATATCTTGTTTTTTTTTCCTTGCCTTCCTTCTGACTCCGGCTGCAAAATGCGTGCAGTGTCAGCGCGAAACTTGGTTTACGAGCTCATGTGTTATTCCTCATAAATTATGAGCAAATAAAAGTTAATCACTTAAGTGGAGCTTTTCAAACTCGAAGTGTTTCTTCTTCATTTTAAGTGTGTGCATTAATTAGTTCTTTGCAAAATGTGTATTTAGAAAATTCTTGCAGGTGCTAGAAGAGCAACACGTCAGTTATCTGATGTCTAATTGAATACTTTTTGGCTTGGTGCTTTCTGTCTAACCCCAACGCCAATGGTTACCTGAGATAGGGCTTTTAGGTGGAGTGACTGAGGTATAAAGACACGCACCGGTTATCTCCCTCATATAGGTACAAAAACACATTTTCAGCTGGTGTCTGTGTTCAGGTGTGCTACTTGTCCTTTGCTATATATTGAACTATAATAATGTACTCATTTTTTCATTAACTTCATCTGGTTGGCTTTTGTATAGTTTGTATTCAGGGTGTGATGTGAGGTTTTCTTTTTTACAATAGAGATGTGTTAAGCAAGAGGGCATGTGGGTTCGTTTGCAACATATTGGGAACACATGCTGAGCACTTCAAGAACTCGTTGCCTTTCCCTTTGTTTACAACCTGGATGATGACCTCATCCTCTGATCTTATAGAAGGTGTGTAGCTTTTCTCTGCATATTTTCAGGTTGTTGCGATCACACGTGGCCTCACTGGAGGGTGTGTGTGTGTGTGTGTGTGTGTGTGTGTGTGTGTCAGTCATAGAGCAGAAGGCCATCTGTTCTCTAGGAGGTGTAATGTTGGTCATTGCCCTCTCTGGTGGACACATTGCATCTCCAGTTACTTCCCAGATGGAATCTGCTTGGGAGAGGTCTCTCATCTTGCCTTTTAGATGTGCCTTTTTTCAACCTAACTGTGGAAATTAGAAGCTGATATTTCACCCTAGCAACTGGAGCCGGCTGTAAATAAAGTTATAGCCATGCAGCTAAATTGGACTTCTGTTTAAACAGTGTGTCAAATACAGTGAGACAAAAATGTGCAAAGTGTTTGTATGGAGGTTCTTATAGCACAGTGTAGCTATAGTTCTGTTAATTTTGTGAGGACTGCTTTGCCATTGGAAACAAAAGCATATTGTGTGTCTCTGGTTTTACTTAGCCTTTTGGTTTTGTTTTGCCAAACTTAAAAATGGGAGCAGCACTGAAAACGTAGTATAATTATAAGTACTATTTAACAATAACGGTTAAGGTATTGTAAATGCTCATGTAACTATACACATCCATTATCTGGATTCAGTCATGCTGTTTCCTACAGAGGAAACTAAAGCCCTTATTCTTTCTGTAACCTTCTGATGTTTGTCCAGTGTTTTCTCATTAGTTATAACTGTCACTTGCTATCAGCAACCATGCTTTTAGTTTGATCAAGAGCTTTCACCGAGTTAGGTTAAATGCTCTTTTTGTTAAAATCTCTGGAAGTTCTTCTGCCAGTAAAACTAGTGTTATTTTGGGGAAGTTTGATTTCTGATGTGGACGACACATATTTCCCTTCCAGCAACAGTTGCACGTATAAAATGGTAACTACATTTTTAAGACAAAGGAAGCTCTTTAAACTTGTCATATATAGTTAAGCTGTTTTGTACTGTAAGTTGAATGTCTTTTCAGGGGATCTGAGATCTCCTGTAGGTCTGACGCGATTAGTAGACATCGTCAACGTCATCGACTACGAAAATGCGTATTCTATATTGACGCATCGTTTTTTGAAATTATTGTAATAAAATTACCTTTTTGATTTATAAAATGCTTCATTTCGTTATAACAAGTTTTCCTTTAATATCACTACGTAATTATGGGAGTTCTTCAAATTATCACAAAACAAAAAGGTGGTTTAACACTGCGCAAAGTCTCAGTTGCATACCGCGGTAGCACTAGCGGTATGTACGAGCACCTGAAGAGGAAAGGCACGCACGCCGTGCTGGATTGTGGACCGCCAGAAGAGGAAAAGCCACCTTAAGTGTTGTCTTAATTGGTAAAATAGATTAATTGATACAAAAACAGTTGTTAGAGGCAGCATTAATCTCCCTTAATGCCTGTCACCTGTAAGAACCATCTGCTCCATGTATAACGGCTCACCACCCATCCATTCTCCTTTTTAAACCTTAAAAATGTATTTCTGATGGTTTTAATGCACCTGTTATAGCTTCTCCAGCCTGTGCAATGCCTTCCATATTCTGCTTCTTTACAAACCAGTTTCTGGTTCCAGATTTGAAGGACTGGGCTTCAGTTGTGCTTCCACTACAGAGAAGTATCTGCATAGTTACTGAGTGTATTTCCGATACCCAGTGGACCCTCTGTGTTGGGTTCTTGGGTGTATTGGGGTGCCATCCACAGAACACTGGGCCTTTCTTCCCAGTGCCAAGAAGTGAAATGAGCCAGAAATGAAAACCATTGAAGTGTGGTTTCAAGAAATGTTTAATCTGTGTTTTTCCATAATTTGTCTTTCTTAGTTTAGGTCAACTGCACCATCCAAATGTTGGTATTTACTTGGTCCTGGCCAGCGACTTGCTTATACAATTCAACATTGCTGTGCCTGTTTGGGGTGATCAGTGTTGGTGTTCTTGGTCGATAATTGCTAAGCTGTGTGTGTTTTAAGCTCACGTGTCTGTTGGTTAATTTTTTTATTTTCCTCTATAAATGTGTGCATGTATACTGACGATTAAATAGTCATGTTATTTATTAACTGTGTTTAAAGGAATAGTCTTATTGAGGGCCTTGATTAAATGGACCACATGAATGAGGTTTATAAGTGGTACACAGAGCAGTTGTTAAGATTAGAAAATGTACTTCGGCCGAAATGTGTACTTTACATGTATATTAAGTCATCAAAGACCAAGTATAATAATAATTCGGTTATTTTTATTACCTGCAGACTCTGATACCAAAAAGTTGGCTTTTTCACTACGCAGAATTAGAATTTTCTCAGGCTGTACAGCTGAATTCACACAATAGCAATAACAAATAGTGTCAAACAAACCATTTAGCCTAAATTTGTTTTTTATAGTAATTTGTTAATGTTCTAATGTAAAGAATGTATTTCCATCAAATTAAATATTTGGTGTTTGGGGTTAGAGATTTCAGTGCATGTTCTTTGGTCATTGGTTACAGACGATACTGAAATGCCTATTAGACAAATATGTTTCACGTTCAGCAGGGAGAAATTTCAGGCACAGACCTCACTGGAATGCTCAGATGGCCCTCTGAAGGAAGCATTAGCTTCCTGTTGTGGACATTCCCTCCATTCTCAACTGCTGATGGGCTGGGCCTGAAACCTGGCTCATGGCTCTTTATTAAACGGTGTTACTGCTTTGTTTTGCGCTAGTGAGATGGAGGAGGAAAACGTGGCAGAAAAACAACACTGCGTGTTAAGCTGCCATAAAACATAAAATAATCTGCACTGATACTCAGCCAGCCCTATCCATACTCACGAAAAATAAATCATGCTCCTATGTTAAGCCATCCTGGCTGGAGATTTTTGGAAGGAGACGTTTCTGCAATGAATATCAGAACTTTTTCAGACCGAATGCCTAACCCTGCTCTTGCCAGACAGACCGTTTTTGAGAGTGTCCCCCTATTTAAAGTAAGCCAAAATTTTGAGAGTATCTTTCTTTTATCTGAGAAATAACAATGAGTTTATCGTGAAAGTAGCCATTATGCTTTGTATTTATAGGTACAAAAGCTTATCTACTTTGTTCCCCTTCCTGCTGGCACGTTGACAACATTGTAGTGATTTAACACAGAAGATTAGTGGTCAGCATAGAGTCAGAATATTCCACTTCCTGTCTCGCCTTTTTCATGGATTATTGTTTTAGACTGGTTGTACGTCGTCAGCTTTTTATGTTATTGATTTCACTTGAATTGGATACTTTGGAATAATTTTAGTATTTTTATCATGAGTATGTACCTATGACAGTACTGGTTTATGTAAGACACTCCCCCGCACAAAGGCATGTGGTGATAGATTCTCTTAATGCCATTTTAATTCAATTTACTCGTCACACCCGAAGTTGCCATCGTGGCTGGATGGTCTATAAATAAGGTCCTTGAGTGCCCCTCTCTAGCAGGTGCTGAGTGGGGTGACAGTTGGACATATGGACTTGACAGTCCGGGGGCCAGACGTGGGGCTATTAATCACCCGGGGTGTAGTGTGCAGTTAATGGCATGTCCGATGTAGAGGACGCCAGGGTGCTGGGGAGGGCAAGAGGGCATGAGGCTTCACTGCTGTTGGCTGATAGGTCTATGCAGAACATTGCTGCTGATGGAAAACATTGCACCGCGACGGGAGAGCCTCACTCATTTTTGCTCCAATCAGATAGCTCTGCTGCCATTAACCCACCCACTTTTATTTACCCTTTGGGCAGTCAGCCGTATGAACGCATGGGAGACCCAGAATGGAACCCGTTGCTATTTGGACTGATGATGGGCCAAGTTTGATATCAGGACCACATGCTCCAGTGCTGGAGCCAGAACCATAGCAAAAAGGTTCTTGAGTTTTCTTGGTTTTTCCCATCCTGTTGAAAATGTACAATATGTGCAATTCATGGATTCCATTGCTTTCTTATAAGGATGATGGCAGATATTTCTGTTAATTGCTTTTGCTATATAATTGATCTCTGTGTGGGGTTTTGGTCTTCATACCGTCTCTTTCAAATTAACCACCCATGATCTCAGTCCCTTTTCAGCCGAAATGAGCATCTGAACTGTTTTCAATAAGAGCTGTTATGGGAAGGGACCACAGCAACGAGCCAGATAGTTTTCGACGGAGAATGAAGGTCGTTCCACTTTGTCACGTGTAGTACGAGTGAAATGTGGAAACAGGCTCTTAAGGAGGCGAATACACATGGATGCTGCAATCTGCATTTAAATCCCAGAAGCAACTTCAGAAGATGTTCTTAGGGTGGCATTGTTTAGTTTCCCCTCTATGATAAAGCCTCCACCGTCAGATCGTCAGCCTCCCACACCTCCCGCTGATTCTGGTTCCCGTTTGAGAGGCTTGCGGGCCAGTGGACTGAAAGGAGGGATTGTCTGCTGGCTCAGAGGCCAGACCAGGCACCCATTCACCACGGCTCAGCTCCAGGGTCCCAGCGGGTCTGCTTGTGGATTACCAGTGCCTCCAGGCCGACTCTCACTGTGCCCCTAAACATGCGAAAGTCTTTGCACTGTATTTCTGCAAGGAAGTGGTTTTGAAGTCCATGCCTGGCATGTGTCCTGAGCCATTAATAATGCATGTTTGCTAAAAATGAAGCACTGTGTTTTCTGAGTGCAGTTAATCGCACTGTGAGAACTTAATATGCTGTAGGATGTTGCATGCCATAGGGCTAGGCGATAATACAATAACGATAATTATTGTAATTTTCCTCTAGCAATATAACAAACGTTCCATAAAAGTTCTATATAATTTAGGACCCGATGTTTGGCATCGCAGTAGAGCAGGTAAGTCTAAAGCAATCGGTCCAATAAGCGTAATTCCAATGCCAATCTGTGGAAGGACATACATTCACACATTGAACAATTTAGAGAAGCCTGGTTATTTATATAGTAGGTGAAATCTAGAGTACCCTCAGGCAACCTGCACAAATAGGGTGAGAACATGCAAGCTCCACGCATGCAGCAGCACCACTAAACCACCATATCTCCCAGGAGGGATTGAGACACTTATAGACCCTCTCAATGAATATAAAACTACCATTTCAACTGGTGAGTGAAACAACGCTGCATAGACTCTGCCATGGCGCATTTGGTCTGATATTCCTGCCAAAAATGACCACGCTAATGAGAGACACGGGGGTAAAGCAAAAACAGATCCATCCTCACCCATCTAACCGTGGTGGGCCTGCCCCCCTTCCGATTCGAAAAATGATTAAAAATACAAGAGGTGTTTTACATGATGAACAGAACTAAAGCTGATAGTTCAGTTCTTTCATTATTTTGTGCAGGATGTTTTATCCACAGTAAACATCTGTGTAATACTAAAAAAAACTATTTCTTAGTGTGTATCAAGTTTTTTGCAAGTCGGACTTTACATTAGTTATTTTTAATATGTTTCATGTAGCAGTGGGGATTCCCGACAATATACAGGGATAAGTTATTACACAACTGTTTTTGTTTGCAAATACCAAACTTTGTGTATACATTTCAGTACTAAGGCAGGTATGAATATAATGTTTACAATATTGTCATTGTATAGTATTTAGTGGCAGGGGTGCAGCTGGAGATCTTGGGCCCTATGAAAACGTACCATATTGGGCCCCAAACCCAGACCAATCCATTTATGTTTCAACTTTTTGGGGCCCCTGTCACTCAGGGACCCATGGAATTGTCCTAACTAAGTTAAGTACTCTGCTTTAGGGTCTAACAGAAGGGGCCTTTCGGATACTTAATCCAGCCTCTGTGTAGCTGCGGTCTTAGCTGTTACGATGGCTACACTTTCTTTTACACAAGTGTGCTGTTCGGAATAAAATCAGTGCATGCTGCCCATTTGTTACTTTGCATGAGTCTTCAGAAATACAAAGCAGCATTGTCCCCCTCCAGCCCTACTTCTTCGTGTAACGCTGCGAGCTCAGGCGATAGCAGGCCGGATTTCTAGGGATGAGCCAGCAGCCTGGCGATGTGGTTCAGGTCCCTGTTGTTGATTAATGAGCGGCAGGAAGGCCTGTGGTTTAGATCCTTTTACGGTAGCGTGACCATGTGGGGTATCCACGGTGACCGAGCATGGAGGTGTCCGTCCCCCGTCCCCTCATGTGGAGCGCTTCCTCTCCTCTGCAGCTGCATGGCAACTTCTCTATTCTCTCGCCTTCTCTCATTCTCTTTTTTGTTGTTTGTTGTTTTTGCTCATTCATCTGTGACTATAAGCAGAGCGAAATCACCAAAATTAACAGGGCATCCAATAAGCAGTATTTTTGCTGCCGCTGTTTGGCGTGAGGGACACTTTGCACAGCTCTTCAGAAATACGACTAACCCTCTCCTATCCTGAGCTCTGTGAAAGATTTCACAGAAACACTAGATTTTGAGTTTACTATGATGTAAGTGTCTTGCTGCTGTAGCCACAACAGTCATGCTTACTGTTCAGAATCTGATTGCAGGAGGATTTCAAGAGAACATTTCCTGAGGATTGTATAAAGGGAAAAATTTCACAATAGAAAATGAGATTTTGACTTTGCCTTTAGACATTGAAGACTTTTTATTTAGACTTCTGTGTCCTGAGGAGAAGTGTGTCGCTATGCATGTTCTCTATTCTCACTTGTGCTCCTTTTATTTTGCCAAACAGTGCCGCTTCGCTGTGGGACCTTCCCCAGCCGGGCTGCATTTGCTGCACCATGTAATCAGACGCTTTGCTCATTTGGCAAAGCGAAGCAGCTCGGTGTCGGGGCTGGCATCCCACCTGCCCCAGTTTCGCTGGCCGCTTCTGTTTTTGAAGAGAAAGTTCTTTCTCTCTGCTGTCCTTTTCAATCCCTTCTCTCCTGAAAGTGTGAGGACAGGTCTCCTCAGAGCTGCCAATCAGACTGTCACCTGATCCGCCTCATCACTACTGCAGGGTTTGTGATGTCACCGTGACGGTCGCACGCCTCTCGCATTCTCTGTGACAGCTCACAGCGTATCTGTCTGCCGGCTGGGGCCGTGAAAATGGCATTGTCTGGCCACCAGGTGACACAGTGATGGGTTCAGTGCCAGGCAGCGGTACACCATGGCGTAGGCTTTCATGCCAGCTGGTCCACTCACTCAGGGAGCGGGACTCTGATTCTAGCTGTTGTACATGCTTTGCATGCGCGTGCGTGCATGTCACCCTAGGGTCAGCAACCCTGACCCGCCCCCGCCCCAGTGAGGGATGCGGAAAACCCCCCAGGCATGCTCTCACTGTGGGGCCTTTGTCAGCTGCTCTGCATGGTTATCGCAGGACGAGGAGAGGAGCGGCGGAACAATGCCGGCCTCTTTAAGGCTCGAGCGAGCCGGCGAATGCGGACCAGCCCAAGTGAGCGAGTTCTGGCAGCGTCTTCTGAAGTGGGGTGGAAGTGGTGTCACCCTCCTTAATTCTGCCCCCTGCTCTCCAGTTCACAGGACCCATAATGTGGGCTTTTGGGTTGCTACACTCAGTCCCTCAATCTTCACAGACGGCAGCCACAGCTGAGGACGTGGGAACGGACCACATCGTGGGTACTGCGAGCTGGAGAGTGGCTATAAACCACTTAGCAGACTATATCCAAAGTAGCTATGTCCGAAGTACATATTTCAAGGAATAAGGGTTGGACAGCCCCTGAGGCAATTGGGGTTAAAGGCCTTACCAGAGGGCCCAACTGTGACATCGTTCTGCCAGCCATGGGCCTTGAACTGATGACCTTCCAATCACAGACACGACATCCTACCAGAGAGCCACGCACCTCTCCCCAGCCCCACTCTGTTTTCCCTGCTAAATGGCTCAAATAGGGGATGTCCTTAACATGGGAAGGGGAGGGGAGGGGAGTATTATATAACCTGGATGCAGCTATACTGTGCTGTAATACTAACTCGCAATAAGTGTGTCTTTGGCACCGCTCTGGGCATAATAAATCAGTATCCAATTATATTGCCTCGAAGCAGTGGTGAGCCGTGTTGACGATGAAAATAGATAGCGATCTGGCCCGATCGTTTATCCACATTCCACAAAGCCTGTGATTGTGTTCTGACATTGTTTGTTTTATTTTGTATCTTTTTTTTTTGTTTGAGTTTGAAGCAGGGGGTAGTTAACGCACATATGGCCCCTGCCACAAACCTGACAAGCGGCCAGTGAGGGGCAGCTCTGAGAGGAGCCGCTCTGTAATGGGAGAGCGGGCGACACAAGGACATCGTCCTGCAGGCCCTCATTCTTTCCAAGTCAAATCATTCTGGGGGCTCACAGGCCGGGTCTGTCCCGAGGGGGGGGGGGGATTGTTTGAGAGTGGCCAGGCTGGCTGGGGTCTGCTTTGCCCCGTCTGGAAAACATGTGGGCTAAAACCAAATAGCAGCTGGAGTGTAAGCAAATAGCAGCACGGAGTTTAGGAAGCATAGAATCGGCATTATTAATCAGCTTTGCCATCAGTTTCTCTGGCGGGTTAAATTTCTGATCCAAATTGCTCAGCATAATAAAAATTATTGACTAACCAGCTGGCGGAGGCTTTCAGTTGTGAATTAAGAATGCTTCAGGGAAATATACTCATTAATATTATAAAAATGATCAACTGCTTAATAATGGCTGACTTTGCATCCTGCATGGGGAGGGACGTTGCTATGTTCGTGTCCCCTGAGAGGGCACTCTACCCGGCCCGCTGGTCTCCAGTCTCGGTGCCCGTGCCGTCTGAACCGCAGCGTCTGTGCCGAGTTTACGGGGCCCGCGAGGATGAATGCCGGCACTCTGCTGGACATTCCTGTGGGGAGCCCCCCCGGGTGCAGAGTGGGCGTCTCCCAGCGAGCCACCCTCCGCTGCTGGACCCTCACTCTGCTCTCGATGCCCCGAGCAGCCTGCCGGGACATGCCCGGGCCTGTGCCACAGCGCCACAGCTCTGAGGGAGTGTCCCACAGAGCCGCACCCCAGCAGGCCCACGAGCAGGCCCAGCCGTCAGCCCAGGGAGTGCTGTTCACCCAGCCGTCAGGCCCCGCACCTCCCCACACCGCCAGCGTGTCTCGTATAGGCTTTCAGTGTGGCTGTAGGGCCAAAACAAACAGCTGGGAAATTTTTATGGTTTCTAAGAAAGTGTATCATGTATTTGATGGTATCTTCTTTAATCCATTCATCCATCTTCTCACTCCTTATTCTGGACAGGGTCACCATGGGGGCCTGGAGCCTATCCCTAGTTAGGAATGGCATGGTGACACCCTGGCTAGGAAGTAGCCCATCACAGGGCACGTACACCACAAGCAGTTTTAGCTTGAATGCATGTCTGTGAAAGTGGAAGGAAACCAGGAGCACAGGGAGAACATGCAAACTGCACAGACGCTGCAGGCAGAAATCAGACCCCTCCGCTTCGGGGGTGTGAGCCAGCGTGCCCCCTTCTTTGCTTTTGTGTAATGTACATTGCTCTCTTATGAAGTTGTGCTCAAGCATATAGATAAGTAGGCTGTCCCTTGTCCCTTTGGGATCCCAGACTGTATGTTCCCTTTCCTTTATAGGTACAGAGCTGAGCATGCTCTCATGGACGTAATCTGCAATTGACATCGATCGCCCATCTTCAGTCTCAGCCCCCCGAACCTCCGCCTCAACATGACGGACCCCTCCCCGCTGGTCCTGGAAGGGACAGAGGCCAGCATGGCTGAGCTGGACACGTGCACCCTGGAGATCGAGCGCAAGTACGAAGTCATCCCGGCCGTGATCTGCTCCATGTGCTTCCTGTTTGGCATCATCTACTGCTTCTTTGGTAAGCCCAGACTGCCCCCGCGCTTTGTGCCAATCTTTGGTTGTTTTTTCTACCTGCTCTCATCTCCATTCCACCTGAGTCTGTCAGCAAGCCGTGTTAAATAGGATCAGGCCTGATCTACCCATAGCAAGGGAATGGCTTAGAATCTGCCTGCCAGTGTAAGCAGATTAGCTGCTTTCCTGCCAGCTGGGTGAGGCAGATGGGAATCCTGAGCTGCCCCCCACCTCAAATCAATTTTTTGCTCCGCTTTCCAAGTCATGGCTCGGATGAGTGAAACCTGCTTAGCTCAGCACCTGTCTAGTAGATGAATGAGGTATTTGTCGATACTTTGCTAGCCAGGTGTACTTTTTTGTGTCTTCATTCAGCTAAAATGATAATGACTCCTATGTTGAACTTGTTTTTACTTCAGACTCGCTGGCTTTGGGGTAGTTCACCAATTTGTGGATAGAATGTATATTTTAAAAAAATAGTCTCTGCTGCCACCCAGTGGGTGTGCAGAATACTGCAGTCTCTGGTCTTTCAGCAATGGTATTTCAGTTTTTTCCCCTACCTGTCTGACCTTTCCTGCCCATTTGCTCCTCTTCCCCTCTCAGGTTACCGCTGCTTCAAGGCCGTTATGTTCCTGTCTGGCCTGATGTTCGGCTCGGTGGTCGTCTTCCTGCTGTGTCACAGAGAGCGGCTGCTGGACACAGAGCTCGGCGTGGAAGCCAGCGCGGGAATCGGCCTGGGCATCGGCCTGCTCTGTGGGATGGTTACCATGCTGGTGCGCAGTGTCGGCCTCTTCATGACCGGCCTGCTGCTGGGGCTCCTGCTGGCTGTCGCCGCTCTGGTGGCCATCGGCCATTTTTACACACCAGGTACGGTGTGGGTGCCCCTAGGGGCGCTGTTGGGCACAGGCGTGCTGTGTGCCGTGTTGGCGTTACAGTGGCAGAAACCCCTGACGGTGGTTTCTACCGCCGTGTTCGGCGCGGCCGTGGTGACAGTGTGCGCGGACTACTTCGTGGAGATGTTTGCCCTGGCGTCACACGTGTACAACTGCCTGTGCCTGGCGCCCACCCCTCCGCTCTGCTGGTACAGCTGGGTGATCATGGGCATCTGGCCGGCCCTCAGCTTCATGGGAATGCTGGTCCAATGGAAGCTGACCGCCGACGGATACTCCCACGCAGAGGGTGAGCCGCCCGTCCGCCCCGACCGGCAGCCACGTCCGGCCCGCCGGCTAACGGCGCTCTCTTTCACCCTCAGTCATCGTCAGCAGGAGGCAGAAGAAGGTCCAGCTGATGCGAATCCGCCAAAGAGAGGCCAAGAAGCAGCAGCAGGGAGGGGGTCAGCTGGCCACGTACCGCCGCAAAGCCACGCCAATCAAGCGCTACGCCGGAGACATCCTGGCACCGGTCCGTGTCAGCAAGGAATGATGGGAATTCTTTCTTATACGATGACACAAGATTGGTGTCCCAGGGACATTAAAATTCAATCCAAACTGATGTACTATTACATTTAATATGACTTTTTAAATTAGTGCTCATGTGTTTGCTCTGACAGTAAAGTGCTGCTATAATTCTATTTGGAAATCAGTAATATATGAACAGCACAACTAGAGGGTGCTAGTGTTACAGTATAAAGTCAATATGATGTCAGCATATGTAAGTGCTGATACATTAGTGTTAAGTTGGGCTCTTGCAGTCAACCTTGTCATTTTCCTTCCTCAGAGCTACCTGCAGAGCCTGCGGGAGCGTCAGATGGGCACAGGCACCTCCATGAGCAGCCTGGGCACCGCCAACCACACCACCCTCGACTACGACTTCGAGACAGGCTCCACCGTGCCCCTGACGGCAACCAGTCCTGTCGTGCGGGTCTGAGGCTGTGTCCCGGCTAAGCTGATACCGGGCCATGCTGAGTCTGCTCTGTGAAACGCTGCAGCTCTCAAACTGACTCGATTCTTCATCGCCGCAGAAGAATCCAGAGATCCAGTCATGCTGTCTGCCACAAGGGAGCCGATTTCTGCCCGTCTAGTCAGCCGTGAGAATCATGATGGAGAAATAAAATCATGCTATGAAATTACAATTCCGAAACATATGCAATCATGGAGTAATTGCTGTCATTGTGGTACAGTTGAAAACATATTTGAATATGAGGAAATCCGCATGCATTCTGTGATTGCCATGAGAGAGGCCAGACTCTGTGAGGCAACATTCTCATGTGTCTGCCAGCGGTGGCAGATTTAACCTGGTCTTTGACTTTTTCACTGGTTATTTCGACTTGTCCTTTTATGGTAGGATGCAGTGTCTGTCTTAGAGTCTGTGCTTATGATCCACCAGGATTTCACAGATGGTAAATACTCTGATCTGTTTAGCGTGTTGCTGACTGTTTACAGTGAGGACTGTAGATTCTTATGTTTTAGTTAAAAATATTAAAAGCTTTTTTTTTTTTTTTTGCAAAAAAAGTGATACTCTGCAAATGATTTTCCTCTAATTAGATTACAGGAATTGTACATAAGGTTGTTTATTATTAGAAACAGGTGAATTACTTCCCTAATGTCTTAACCTGATAAATGTGATTGACAGGTTACTTAGCAATGAGTACTGTGTTTTCTGACAACCATGAAAAAACAAAATCTCCATGGCAACCAAAGTTTTGTTTATATGTTATAAACGGTTGCCACACCTGGCTTTCAGATTACCTGGAACAACAGGTAACTCAAGTTCAATTTCTGTCTGTGGCGTGTGTCATAATGAAATTAAAGAAACTACATGTGCTGTTTATTTGAGATCCCATCTTTCATTCATTATTGATTGACCTGCAGTGTCACACTTTCAGCAAGGCTCAAAAATACCTCATAAATTAATTTTCCTACCTATTAAGAGAGAAGTTTCAAACATTACTTTAATTTAACACAGTCTCAGCATCCATCCACCCTCCAGCTGTTTGGCTCACGGGGTGATTCTCAGAAGTTTGTTAAATAGGTCATGGGATGTTCAGCTGCCCATGGAGTTAGCTAGACCTGGATCATTCTGTTATGTGTACATTTACACTGCTGTTATATGTGTTGATTTGTGTGTTTTCTGACCCCCAGGTTTCGCAGTTATATAGAGACGTACACCATGTTCAGGACCTCAGACCACCAGCTGTACACAATGGCATCAGCATACTTTATTGTTTTTCTTTAATTGCTTGGTTGCTAATGTCACAGGACCATACAGAACGCATTGCCATGTCCCACGGGGACAGATAACGTTACTATGGGCCTTTGTTTCTTTAATAGCAAGTGCACTGCACTGAGATGTGTGTAGTGCATTCAGGTTTCTGCTGTTAAATGTCCAATGAGGCTTGAGCTTATGCCTGATCCCGCCTCCTGGCGCCCCTCCCCACGCATTGAATTATCAGCATCACCGCTGTCCTGATGTCATTCGTCCGTGACGTCAGTCATCGCACATCATCCAGCGCTCCCTCTTGCTCAGTGGGTAGCCACTCTCCACGCTCATCTGCTTGCCAATGCGCCAATATTGATCGCCCTTGAAGATGTAGACTCTGCCATTGGTCCAGGTGAGGGCGGAGTCAGGTTTGGGGGGCACGCCTTTGAAGAGCTGGGAGGTGGGCCTGGGGTAGGAGTTGAGGCTAGTACTGTCCAGCTCATTCCACTGCCAGTGCTCAGAGCCCTGAGGGGCAAGAGGGGGGACATAGTTTGGCATTACAGTCCCATCACCCAGCAAGGCGCCTCATCCCTGGAACTAGAGGCTATCCTCTTTAGCTACCGGCTAAAATACCCGTTTCCTTACACCTGCAGCATCTGAACTTCCAAGAAGTTTCTCTCTTACCTTAAAGAAAACAAGTTTCTTGGTGGCTTCAAGGTACAAAGCGGCATCGATGTTTGGGGGAATTCTGTTCAGTTTTTTGGGGAAGCCACTGTCAAGCTGGAAGTTGGTGTACCTCCACACTTTGTCACCTGAGTTGGAGTGTGTGGATGAGGGAAATGAGAAGCTAACATGTCGGTTACAGATCAAGAGAGTGGAGAACGGTGCAATCTAAGCTTGCAAATAATGATCCATTTTCCAGAAGCACTAATCTAGAGTAACGAGATAATCCATGTTAGGGAGGACACTTCAAACTACATTAAAATTGAAAGGTTCCTGTGCTTGGCTAAATAGTTCATCTTGTACTTTGGCTGGTTTGTTTCCTTGATTGAAAGATTCATCCAGCTGTTTAACATTAACATTAGTGACGCATGCATGATTATAGCAGACTGACCAGTCAGCACACAGCAACAACTGTATTGAAATGCTAGTTTACAAATCCTGTCCAAGCTCAAAGTATCCTTCCTGACAGAGATTATCTGGTCACCCTAACTAGTCCAATGCAAGGTTATGGTGAGCCTGAAGCAGGATACACCATGGACAGGTTGCAAGACCATTATTGGAAGCAGGGCTAGAGAAATTTAGAGATGAAGGTTGACTTGACCAGCATATCCTTGAGCAGGTGCAGGCAAGAGTACTGGAGGGTCATGGATACCCTGAGAGATTCAGGGGCCCCAGTCCTTAACAAGGGCCCTTGAATATGTAAAACTATACATAAAATTGGGGTGGGGGCCCAAGGTGACATTTGTCTAGGGACCCAGAATTTTTAGGTACACCCCACCCCAGGGAGCATGCCTCAACCCTCCTTCCCTTCAATGCTTCTTCTGCTGGATGTTTGCATGTGGAGTTTGCATGTTCTCCCTGGGTTTCTTCCCATTGGCCAATAATATGGTAAATTAGATAATTTGGCAGAAAAAACAAATTGTGGCCCATTGTACCTGACATTCCACCCAGGCTGTATCCCGGCCTTGTTCTCCATGCTGTCTGGGACAGGCTCCATGCCAGTTTTGAAATATAAAAAGGTTCCAATTCTTTACAAAACCATAACATTCATTTGGACTTTTAATGGTGCGGTTACCTTTCAGGAAGTAGGTCTTGCCGGTTCTCTGGGAGTGGACGGTGGCGTCGAGGTTGCCAGGGAGACCCTTCCATAGCAGGATAGTTTTGACGGGGGCGTTGTAGCCCTTGTCTGACACTGTCCATACATACTCCCCACTGAAGGCATATGTCTTTCGTAGGGGACCTTGATGAGTAGAGATAGCAAGGATGTTTGGACTTCAGGCAAAAGGTATAACACAATAATTATATGCAGAATAATATCACTGAAAGACAGGTGATGCTAATCTGATGTGAAGCTGTAGGAACCTGATTGGTTCTTGCTTGCCTTAATACTGAGTTAATGCTTCTTTTATATACTGTGTACTATGATGATGTAGGGCAGTGTTTCCCAACTTGGTCCTGGGACCCACAGGTAGTCTATGTTTTTGAGGGAGCAAACATGTGGACCTTCGGCAGGGTCCCTGAGGACCGAATTGGGAAACACTGATGTAAAGGCTCTCTTCATACCTAGCATGATGGCATCCAGGCTGACCGTACAGGGATCCGGAGGTTTCCCTTGACCCCCTGACGAGTGGCTTGGGGAATTGGGAGTGGTTGGCCGGCCTTAAAGGGAAGAGCAAATCATGGACAAAGCTGTGTGCGAAATCATTCTGAATGAACACATCTCAAGCTCACATTAATGTTCCATCTGTCTATTCCAGTGTTTCCCAACCCAGTCCATGGGGACCCCCAGACAGTCCACGTTTTTGCTCCCTCCCAGACAGTCCACGTTTTTGCTCCCTCCCAGACAGTCCACGTTTTTGCTCCCTCCCAGACAGTCCACGTTTTTGCTCCCTCCCAGCTCCCAACACCGAATACCTGGTGCAGGTGTGTCAGGAGCTGGGAGGGAACTAAAAAATGTCTGTCAGGGGGTCCGCGAGGATTAGGTTGGAAAACACTGGTCTCTTTAGGCAGTGTTGACTCCCTTGTAAACCTGAATATTTAATAAAATGGGGGTCAGTTCTGTCTCTCACCATAAAGGACCTGGATGCCTATCACGTCGTCAGGGTGCAGCTTGAAGTTGCTACGGTAACCGCTGTAGATGGGACCCATGAGGGCACTGCTATACTGGGAGTGGCCCAGCCCCAGGGCGTGGCCGATCTCGTGGGCGGCGACAATGCGCAGGTTGGTGCCGTCGTGCTTGCCCTCTGTCCAGAACTCGTCCTCGTCGAAGTGCACTATGCCCGACTCTGGGGCGTCAGCATGGGCCAGCACGCCACCTAGGGGGCGGGGGCAGAAACACATCAACGGTACTTTGCCTGCATGTGTCCTGACCCCCTCCTAACCAATCAGAGTTCAGCATCTTTACCTAACCCGTCGAATGCAGCCGGACATGATCCCTCTTTCTTATGGAATGAGATCTTGATGTCGGCTCTCCCGTCTGTCACCTCTCGGAATTTCAGGGGAGCAACGTCACTCCAGTATTTAAAAGCGGTCCGGACAGCTGCGCGGGTTTGAGCCTGACCCATATCGGGTGTGTAGTTATATATACGGTATGTCAGGTCCTTCTTCCGCCAACGGCCTGTGTAACGCACATAAACAGCGATTACAAAGATGTCTCCAGCTTAATTATCCTTCTGGTAATGACATTGGTGAGGATTATTCAAATTTTGGTTTTCAAGCACTTTTAAAATGAATTCTTAATTTATAGAAATAGATGTTTTCAGCTGAGAGACTGAGGATAAGCGCAACAGTTGGGTAATGTGCCATGATCTAACTGGCTGGGTTAGTCATTAAACTCTCAGTTAAAGATAATTGTCATATGAAATATTTAGATGCTGCTATAGCCGCGTTGGCCGCCGACTTGCCTATCACACGGTATTTGTGAGTCTTCTGGGTAAAAGGGTCTTGCAGACCACAACGAGGCCTTTTCATCATCGCTGCTGTTCCATTGTCAAAGTTTCCGGTCAGGGGGAGGTTTGCTGCCTTCTGGAAGACCCTGGGGAGAGGAGGAAATCGGAGCGGGAGGGAATGAGAGTAAGAATGGGGCAATTATACCGCCCAGGAGAAGCTAGCAAACCAGTGCTACTCCTAATCCCTACAGTGAGATCCTCAAAAATAATGACTGATGGTACATTCTGGAAAAAAGGCTTCCATAAGCTTCAGCCTTGATCCTCCACACAACCAAGCTTTTCATTCTGATCTTCGGCGATTCAGTTGTGTTTACAAAAAACTAAGCCTAGTGAAAACAATAAGATGGCAACATCAAACACACGCATATGTTCAGACTAGTTGCAGGCAGCTTTACTGTTGTTAGCACAAGTGTCATTGTTAGCACAAACATTCTGGTTACCTGAGAGGCTCTGTAATGTCCTCTGGCCCATAGCTGTGCTCTTTTGCCTCCAGCGAGGTGTGCAAGTAGCCGTAACGCTTCAGGTAAGTCTGGAGAGACAGGGGAATGACCCTTTCAGTCACTTGCCCTTGGCTTTCAAATTGTGAAAAGAATAGCAAAGTCCTGAAGCTTTCCTGCTGAAAAGAGGCTATGCCTACTTGGCATTATGTCAGTCAGAGAAGGAATTATGTGTTAAACAGACTTTGGGTATGAAAAAGACTAACGCGTAGGCCAAGCAGATGCTGTGCCATAACAGATTAAATTACAGCTAGAGCCATTTTCTGTCAATGCAGACATTAGTCCTCCAGCAGGTTTCAAGACCACAAAACTCCAGATCTAAAAACCATTGCAGATTAATCACAGAGATTCCAGAAGTATATATTTCTGTGTATTTCCATTAATCTCCTGCTGTCAGCTGTAATGTTCTATAACAGCTTGACAACAAGAGGTGTGGATTTTCCACAGTAAGTAGCAGAAGAGACTTTTAGCAGTTTTAGTCTGAGTGATGGAAAGCTGCCCTTTTAATGCAGAAACCATGTTCATCAACAGCATTTTAGATATACGTTTGCATGAAGATGGCTAAACAAAATAGACTAGCTCCATTATGAAACTACAATTACATTTTATTTTATTTTATTTAGCAAACTCTTTTATCCAAACCAACATACAATCGGGAAGGCGGAGTCAGACAGCAGTTGGGGGTTTCATGCCTCACTCAGGGGCCCAACAGTGAAATCATTCTACTGGCCCTGGGATCAGAACTGACGACCTTCCGATCACAACATGCTAGGTCCTAAGGTTGGGACAGCCAAGTGTCATACTGTCACCCCCACCACCATCCCAAAGAGAACTTAATACCTCCCCCCAAACGCAGAGATGTACACGGTCGTCCGTTAATGAGCCGTGTCTGCAGTGGGACCGGACGTCATCCAGGCCTCGTGTATACGACCCTATTGGTAACGGGAATGTCCGAAGCAAGCCTGATGAGCGGCACCCTTGTGTCTTCATTCCTCGCTCTTACCGTGGCTTCCAGAAGGTTGCTCCAGTCTATCGGGGTGGAGAGCGTGGTGGAGAGGACACCTGAGAGCAGCACTGCTGGGAGTAAGAGGCCCATCTTCCACCAGGAGCAGTCAGCTGTTCTACAATGACAAGACCCCTGTGTGTTTTGCAGATGAGTATGTTTGCCTTGACTGAGGACTCCCTCACGGTCCTCTCCAGCATTTGCTCTTGACTTTCCACTCGTTGTCTCACTTCTCCTCCTGTCGTTTTTATACCCTCTGATGAGTCAGTGCCCCTTGAGCCCCCGCTGTGACCTACCCCCAAGGATCCAGGCCCGTTTTGGGATGGGAGGCAACCGGCTACCACTCAGAGTTATTCACCGCAAGCCTGCCCTTCCCAGAAGACAGGCACTCCAAACCTCCCCCCTAACAAAAGCAGTCGTCTTACTTTTAATATCCTCTCTGCTTGCGTAAACTAAAATAATTAGCTCAATAAATTCAGTATTAAAGATGGAAAAAAAACATGTACACTGTTGGTGTAGGTTACTTTTTTTACTGACGTCACTTGTCATATATCGTAAAATGTAATTAGACAGAAAGGAAGATTTTTGGTGGTTAGGAATTCTTACTGATCTTTAATTACGGCTGAGTCACGCCTTGGAAAGGCTAATGAGTTGCTCCCAGGAATTTACACGTGGGATTTCATTCAGTCTGAAAAGCAAAATTATTCTGGTCTTAGAATTAAAATTAAATTTTAATTTCATATGTGAAAAAAACACACGCATATGGCTTCAGATTCTTAATGCACATTTGTGCTTTTGTATGTCCCAGTAACAGCTGCTGTCCTATGAATTACGCCCACATTTAGCGTAAAATGACCTTTATTGAAGCGTTTACCAAACCACGCACCATGAAATGGTTTCATTTTGGGAAGTTATCCCAGGATGAAGAGGACATACGCAGTGGGATTTGGAAGGGGACCAGTGTTCCACTAATTCAGAGAAGCCAATTTATTGAAACCCACCCACATTCACCGAGGACATTTAATCCCCATGTGGAAGTACTCAAACCCATGGCCGTGGAGGTCACAGCCACCCCAGGAGGCACCTCATGAACATTCGGGACAGAAGACTGGACTCCATGGGGGCCCAGTCACCTCCATACACACCATATCTGTTTGCATTTTTAATCTGTACTCTATGGCTACATGTTTACCCATTCTGCTTATGTTAGTGAATTATAGGGGATTCTGTCTGTAATCAGAATCACGAAGCAGCACTTCGTTCACTTCGTTCACAATATTACGCAATAGCAGGAGGATAATTGAGTTAAACGTGCGTCATTCCACTTATGGCGCTAACAATGACGGTAAGTTGATTGCAATCAGAGGGACAGCCCTGCTTTTACAAAGGATTTGATGTAATTTACATACCAACATACTTAACGAGCCTAAAATAATCTCTGCATGCCTCTTTGATTTATGACAACTTAATTAGCATTAAATAGTTGCCACAAAACCAAGCTAAGGCAGATGGCGTGAAGAGCCAAAGATAGACATTTATTCCTGCATTTATACAGCATATTATAGCTATCGCTGAGCAAGCTAAATGCCTCCAGGCTGTTGTCTTATTGCTTACTGTTGTGGTGAAAAATGCACAAGCAGTCTTTCCATACCACATTTATATTCATCTGACGTCTGGTTTTACAGTCCCCGTGTGATTATCTACTAACTTGTCTTAGGAGGAACATGTTTGTTAGTGCCAGACTGTCCACATCCCATTACTGAAACTTCAAAAACCTGTGCACTATATGAGACCTGCACTCATATTTATCTCCATTTTTACTGATTGTTGTTACATCTGTCTCTCGCAAAATTTCATTCCATATGAAATGTCATCCTTCTCTTTTATTTTCACCCATCCCTTTAATCGTGACCCACCACATTAATAGTCACTCATCCCTTTTTGTCCCCACAATTTTCCTCATTCTCCATCTCGCTCGTGATTAATTTCCTGTGTGTATCTGCCCTCTGACTCCATTTAATATGTCTGTGTCATACTCCATGTATACAGGGTTAGGTGTGTATGCAGGGCTGAAGCTGATTGGCCCCCAGAGTGCCCCCTCACTGTCACTCACCAATCATTGGCTAATGATAAGGTTGGCTCCACTGTATGCATTATGGCCCCACTTGCGGTCCCGGTTACGGATGGCAGAGCTGCCATGTACCAGTGAGGCCTTGACTTACTCGGGGAACCGAACAGTCTTACAAGTTGACAAATTCTTGTGTTCGGTTTGTTTATTTGTGGATGAAAGAAAGAAAGAAAGAATGAATGAATGAATGAATGAATGAATGAATGAATGAATGAATGAAAAAAAACAATCCTAGAAATGGTCCTGAGATGGATGGATGTCAGCTAGTATATTTCACAGTGGATAATTTCGCAAAGGTGGAGATGTTTGGTTACAGGTCATGAACCCTGATGGCTTCGCAAACATGACGCCAACAGTGAAAGCGTAGGCAGCCGGGCATGGAGGAACAGGTTTCAGCTGGCATGCTAGTCATACCATGAGGACACCAGCAGGGTCTGAGTTGCAGGCTGCAGTGTCACCTGCCATCTCTGTCCACGACTCAGACCCTGGCTTCTTAGTTGTTTACTGAAGCTGCTTTTATTCAAAGTATCTTATGTAATTTACAATAACATCCAGCCATCATCCAAGTACTAAAGACCTCCACGAGGAAGGGGAACACCCTAAAAGGGGTGCCATTGAAGCACAGGACACACACGGACACACAGAATGGGTAAATCACTTAAGGGTATGACTCTGGACTGTGGCAAGAAACTGTGATACATGCAGGAACTTCTGTTGCTCTGTAGCACACAGAGAGAACATGGAAATCAGACATGCAAAGAGCAGAGGTGAAGAATGGCCTCCCAAACTTAGAAGAGTGAGGCAACACCAACTACTAGCTAACAAGCCACTGTGTTGCCCCTTGTTTACAATTATGAACTTTATAAGTATAAAGCTACAATTTATGTCAGTGTTTCTCAACCCAGTGCCCAGGGACAGCCAGCCAGCCCACGTTTTGGCTTTCCAATACCTGATATTCGGTGTTCTTGATTGAGAAAATGGGCCGGGAAACTACTTAATGTCAAACTAAACTAAAGATGAGTACTATTTTGATGGATGACAGCTTTTTTGGATGTACCTTTTCTTGTCCTTGAAGATTAAGAAGCGGTTTCAGTTGTCTAATTTAGGAGGGCTTTCAACAAATTTTGGGAAAAATCCAGCCAAACAAGGAGATCTCATCCTGCATTTTCTGTTCTTCAACAAAAATGTAACATGACAGAGACAATTAATAACCAACATATCCAATTCTGTCCTGTTACCACTTTTCGAGGTGGCATGAAAGACTTTGCACAATTCTATAACGTTTATTTTATTGTAGTAAATTATTATCCGAAGCAACTTAAAGTTAATCCAAACTTTCACAGGCACTGTTTTCAGAGCAATTCAGATTCTGTGAATTCACCAGCCCTGGAATCTGAAGCAGCAATCTTCACATTTAGCCACTATGCCCCCTGCAGTCTGAAATGCTCACATGCTGCAGAGATTGTTTATTGAATGTCACTTGGTGACTGTTTTCTTGCAGCACAGCAGAGATCCCGCTATTCTGCTCTGAGGCCGGAAACCATGCCCCTCCACCCCTGACAGCGGGTCCACCTCATGCTGATTGATTGCTCTGTGTGAGCGTACTTGTCTCCAAACCAGTGTTTACACCGAGGCCTGCACCACTGTACTTTATCATGGAGAAAAAGGGGAAAAAAAAACGACAATTTTAAACAGAATGCCTGCTTTCAGAGCACACCATAAATTCCCTCTTTGAGAACACTTAAATTTTGAGGGCTGAAGTTTTGCCCCCTCCCACTTCCATCCATGGTAGAGAACTCAACATACCTCCATTTCCACGACAACGATCCACATCTCACTATCACAGCACTCAAAAAATGGGGTCCCATGTGCAATAAAAATCATGAACTTTTACATTCTTACTTGCAAAAAGGAAATATTTATTTAGCTAGAACAGAATTTATATTCCACAGCTAACACTTGTCTTACTCATGAGCAGAGTTAATTACTTGTCCCTCCCCTCATCAAAATAACTCTCTATTCTTTCTGTCTACGTCTCTAACACTTAATAGCCCGCTGGGGCCAACACCTTATCCGTAGAGGTGGTTCACACCCTGAAACTGCAGCTCATATCCCACAGAAATGCACAATACTGTCGGCACCTCATTTCCATCTGAAGGTGTGGTGTGCCAAAGTCTGGATTAGTTCGACCCTCTTAAACCATGGTCAGTGACATCAGCAAATCCGTGTGGGTGACTGCGACAGCTGTTGCATGGTCATGGGGTTCCGGAAATTTCTTAGGCAGAAATGCACGGACAACAGAAGGCAGCTGGACTCGCACAAGGGCGAAAAACATCTGGAATCATCCCTGGCTTGATAGAGCAATAGGGAAGGACAAAAAAACACTTCTGAACACAACAGTCTGTTCCCAGTAAAAACTTTCATTATGCTGATATGGCTCTTGAAGACACCAGTTACCAGGTCTGGGCAAAACACCACAGTGAACAGCAGCTACCTGATAGCTAATCGTAGAAGGTGGCCAGTAGATTAAGACCTGAACTTCGGATCAAAAGGGTGGAGCAGCCTTGAGCGAAGCAACGGCCCCTTGATACCAGGGGGAGGGAGAGTGGCAGTTATTACCCAGAATCACTTTGGCTAAGTAACTCATTATTACTTGCACATGCCTCTCCAAATGTCTGGCGTCGGGTAGATACTGGCTCAGGGGTTTAAAAACAGCCCACAGAAATAACATGTGATGAAGTGACTGAATGCAAACCACGAGTATTTAAAGTATGTTCAAAATCATCATGGTAAAACACAGTCAAAATCAGGAAAGAGGGAAAGCCCCATTAAAGTCTTGCACTGGAACATCTAAAGGTATTTAGAAAATGAAGGAACCTACAGCATATCCTGACAGCTGTCGCAGACCAAAAGTTGCTGAAGTAAAATGGAAGCGATACAGTGAAGCATCAGAATAATCTGAAATTCCTGGGTGGTGAGTCGTTCTGTGTGTTAGGACCAGTGCCTGTGATGTCACCATTGAGCAAAACCTTTAATCCCAATTTTTCCAGGGCGCTGGATGCTGGCCGATCCTGTGCTATGGCCCCCAAACTTGTTCTCACCAATGTATGAGTCTCATGGAGAGCAAGAGAGGATAGGCAAAAAGATGAATTCCTCAGTGAAGTATCACTATTCTGCAGTTAGCTGGCTTTGTTGTGGATTTTGTTTCTTGTCTTTGAATGGTGTGGGAACTTCTCATTTATTTTTTTTTTGTTTATAATTATTGAAAGTTGCCTTTCTGTCATGGCACAATCTTTTAGTCTATTAAAGGCCTGTATTGTGCCACTTGCTGATAATTTCCAGGCTAACTTTAAAAGATACAGTGTCTCAAACATGTAAGATCTTAACATTCTTTCAGAACAAACAAGGCTGAATTTTAAAGGGCATCCCTCAGGCCAGGGTTGCAATACATGCAGGTCTTTGTGCCAGCTGTTATCAAAGACGCGATCACACTTCTCCTGGAAGATAATGAAAAACACTGGCCGTGGAAGACCGGTTTTTGTAATAATAAAACTGCCTGTAGCGAAAAGACAGAGACGGGCATCGGACCACCGCAAACCTCAGCCTCTGCAGGAACAACAGCTAAACAGACCTGCTTTTAGGTTCAATTACATTAGCTAGACTGTCTCTTGCATAACCATGACTGAAGATCCTAAACTCCCCCTAGAGGATGGCACTGGAATCTCCAAGCATGTAACCACCAATGAAGAAATGCGAATGGCAGCGGTTTCACGACTGACAGCGACTGCCATTTCTATAACAGAGGATCAGAGGTTTTTTTTTTAATTGCTATATTGGAAAAAGTTAAGAACACAACCAACTCTAAAGAAAAAAAAAAGTTCATGCTTTATAAATCTCACAGATTTTCTTTACAAAACTGCAGCAACTTTAATTTGTCTTTTCCTACACCCAGAAGAAACATTCCCAAATCCCCACCCTTAAATCCCACCCCTCCTTACAGAGAATTCTGTCTAGAATATAAACATGCAGGGCACCACATAACCCAGACTACAGCAGGCTGGGAATGCAGAAACCCCACATCTCTTTCAGCACACAGCTCTCAGGTCACTCTCAGTGGCGGCAGTGTGCACATAACTTCCCAGGTACTGGCATAGAGTGAATGCTGTGTTTTCAGAAAACAGGCTCAGAACTTCAGAACCAAACACCCCTTCCCGCGGAAGTTACCACCCACATAAAATATGCTAGTTTCTACCAAGAAGGAGCATCTTTGCAGAAACCACACAAAATCGCATGCTGAAAAAGGAACAGAACAAACATAGAAAACATCTGTAAATTAAAATCTTTCCTAATGGTAAAATAATACTTTTACAGCTGAATTTACAGAAAACTGTTCAGTGGTTTACCAGCATAAAGATGTATATCCATTTAAAAAATTCTGTTCCTCTTTTACTATACAACTTACCTGCAAAACAGGAAAACCTATATATGCCACCTTTTTATCTCACCACATCAAGTTTCTGGGGTTTTTTTTCAACCCAGGATACTTTTAGCCACTGACAAGAAACCCTAGAGCAATAATTTGCATCCAACACTTCAACAACATGAAGAAATTTACAGAAAATGCCACAAGCCTTTACAGCATCCTATAAAGGGGGAAGAAGACAAGCCTCAAAGTCAGTTGTGATCAGGACTGAAATGACAGACAACCTGAACTATTCTCATGGAACTGTCAAGCAATATCAGATCTACTAACCTTCAACATAAATGGCATATTTGAAGTAAGGAAGTGATCTGTTGTTATTATACATGTGTTAATGTCCAGTCCGACTGTTAGGATAGTGCAGTGTTTCCCAATCCAGTCCTCAGGGACAGTCCACATTTTTGCTCCCACCCAGCTCTCTGCAAGACAGTCCACATTTTGCTCAGCTGGGAGGGACAAAAAACGTGGACTGTCCATGGGTCCCCGAGGACCGGATTAGGAAACACTGTGATAGCGTATACTCCAGCCTGTGCTGATAATTCCGTCTGGCTGACAGTACTAATGTCTCTATGATGTCCAGGCCGAGTTGGTCCAAATCACGTTCCGCAGCTGGATGTTTATATTCTTGACAGTGTCTCCCCGCCCAACCCTGCCCACATGTCCCAGGTTTACAAATCCTTCTCCAGGTCCTCCAGCTCTTCCCGCAGAGCCTGGGCCCGGCCCAGCTTCTCCAGTTGCTCCTTGGTCGGCTGCTTTATCTCCCCGGAGTCCAGTTTCTGCTGCAGGTCCTCTACCTGTCGTAGCTTCTTCCGCAGGCCTTTGATCTTCTTGGTTTTCTCGGCTGCCGCCTCCCCCTGGGCCTGTGGCGAGGGGCTGTTGTGCTGCGGCGCCCCCTTGTGGTCGCTCGCCTTCCCCCCGATCTCCATCTTCCCAACGGCGGCGCTGAGCGTCTCCGCCCCTTCCTCGGCACTCACGTCGCCATCCTGTCCCGGCAACTGCTGCTGTTGCTGCTGCTTGCGCTTCTCCTTGCGCTTCATGTTGCGCTTCGCGGTCTTCGAGAGACCCGCAGTCTCGCCGTCCCTCTCCACGCCGCCCCCTGTCGACGCCTGCTGCCTCGTCTGCTCCGCATCTTCTGGATTCATGCCTGGAGGAAGGTCTGGTTTGCTCTTGAAGAACTTGACATATTTGTTCTCGTAGCTGGAAAAGCAAAGTTAGTTTATTGCAATTACGCATACTCCCCGGGTTCCAATGGTCCGTGTTTCGATAATTCGTGTTTATGATGGGTAAATGTTTTTCATTTTTGCTACATTATTCAATGAATTACATAAGATATTCAACACTTCATTATAAAGTATGCTTTGCGTTAATGATTTTGCCTAACTGAAGGCTAATGTAAGTGTAACGTAACCCCATTGTAACCTGGGATGTAAATGAATTTGCATTAACTTAGACTATCATGCAGAAAATCCACAGCTGACACTAATGGGAGAATAATGAATGGAGTTACAGTGCACTGCTGTGATTGTTGGGGGTTGGGGGGCACAGGACATCTCCATGTGCCTGGTCCATACTTACACAGGGACCTCTTCCTGAGGCACATAACCCTCCTTCACCCGGCGAGGTTTTCGCCAGGTTCCGTCTGGCCTCTGCGTGGCAGCGATGTATTTTCCTGGGAGAAAGTGAGGCCGACACAATAAAATGAATAAGGCAAGTTTGTGCATAGAATCACACATATTTTAGACCAAGATATACATTAAATATTGAATAGTATATATGTAACCAAATTAATTATCCAAATCAAGTAAAGCAATTGTCTAACCATGTATTGTCCACTTAGATTCAAGGGCATAGCTTTGGTTTCAGCAGTGGTAGGGACCAAATTTGCCCAGAACCACCCCCCCGCATTAAACACTGACGGTACTCCCACAAAATTAGTAGGGACGCGTCCCGACCATGCCCAAATCTATGCCCATCCTGAGATTACATTAAATAATGCAGCTTGTGTACTTTAATTCATATTCTATACAAAAAGGCTTAATAATTAGCTTACTTATACAGGGCGGTGAATTGCATAAAGGCCCTACCTCGGTACGTTTTGCTTTCGTACGGTAGGAATGTGCCGATGTGGCTTCAGGCAAAAGAGAAACCATACGTACGTAACTATGGCAACTGCGTTTGTTCCCGTCGTACTGTACAAATGCACCACCCCGCTGCTAATCAATGAATCCATGCAAGTACTGACATAAAACGACTAGCCAACTGCATCAATGGGCACATATATATGTTTATGCTTAGCTAACTTAAGACAACTAGGAATTTGGTTATTTAGAAAACAGTGAAACAGAAGTCGTGATGTTAACTTCTGCGTGGCGGTCTAAAACGCTGGCTGGACTGCTGAATGCAGCGGCATTTTCTCGTTTTATCAACCACACTAATCTTCTGGCTGGCCGATAGGTATACATAATATTAAAGCTTTGGAAATAGCAGATCATAATAACCATTTTAGCTAGCTAGCATACCAGATTCCCAAATAGCAATGCTCTGCAAAACGTGTCGACGAAACTGGATTGTTTAGGACCCAGATTTAAAATATACAACATATCTGTTACGCGTATATACGAGGATAGGAAGAAACACGGAAAAATTGCGCTTGACCCAAAAATAAATGCTCCAGTTTTACCAGATTCATCTGTCACATAGGGGGTCGCCATCTTGAAACGCGATACTCTTCCGTCGCGCGGCGGAAGCGGCGCTGATGGATCGGAATGTTTAAAAAAAATCGCCGTGGCTATATTTTCGTTCTTTTTGTTGATTTCTTTCTTTCTTTATTAGAGTTATCAACTCTCACGCATCTGGCACGACACTCATGCTTTCAGACGGGCACGCAAGAAATCTTACGGCAAATCTATTATTCCATTATTAACCTAAATTAGCCATATCAAAAGCGATTGGGTAGTCTGCAAACCCTACAGATTATTTACAAGGTGATAAAACTGCTACTTACATGTGTACATGTTGCTGGCCGAAGTTGGTGACACTGCTTAATCCCTCCTGTTATGTTGATAAACTAGGCACACCTGTTATTTTGCGCATATTGTACATTTCAGTTCTGGTCATAGTAGTAGAAAAGTGCTTTAAAAAGACATGTCTTTAACTTTCCCATAAAAAGATAAGAAGTTGGAAGATTTCTGTATGTGTGTTGGATAAATGCCTGTTTAATAGTAGTATATATTTGAAAACTTTTTTGTTCAAATCAGTTTTTATTATCAGTTACCATTAAAGTTATGCACATTCAGTTTTCACAGAAACATTTAGGTATACTTAGAAGTCCTTGAACTCTACTCGTCTACTATCAACTTCTATTTCACTCAGTTTTCATCTTGTGTATGTGTGTGTGTGAGTGAGAGAGAAATAGTAACATTTTGTAAATGTGCTTCACTTTCTGCATTTGGCACATGTGGTGCTGGTTATATTGTCATAGCCAGGGAGATTGAACTGCATTTCTTCACATTTTTCCCACATTTGCACCTACTGCAGCTGATCTGAAAGGGGGCTTTGGTGCCTCAGTCCAAACTCCCTGAACATTTCTTCCAGCTGTTGGTTGTCCTTGCTTCTGGATTTGGGCTTTTCCAAGTTCCTTGGGGAATACGTGGTGTTAGTGAAAGTTCCATCATTCCACTGCTGATTTCTGTTTCTCTAGAGCAGATAGGTGTTGTATGCAGACATTGTTGTCACCTTGTCAATGCATCATAATTAAACCGCTTCTTTAGTGAAACTGTTGCCCAGAATGGATTGTAGCTTCATATCTTCTGTTTAGAAATAGCTCTTTGTGCTTTTGAGGCAGGACAAACGCGGCAGGAATTTTGGGAGAAAGCTCATTTTGGGGATTTCACAAATCTCATTAGGAAGATCTATTTAATTCCTAACCCCCCATACCCCCCTCCCCCACCACCACCCTAGATAGTTTGCTATTTCATTAGTCAGCTCCAGGTTTTAGATTGTACATTGTAAAATATGATATTATGACCCTGCAGCCTTTCACTTGTATCAAGGTTCATGTTGTCATGTGTAGACATAACAGTTAAATTCTTACCTGTGTGCTGACATTTAAAGTAATTTTTTTCTAAATGGTTTTCTTCTGTAAGCTGGTGTATTTTAGAGCCAAATACTGATGCCATACTTTCTGTACTTTTTGGAGTGTAGAAGCTGTAGGCACAATATCCTTCAACTGCAAAACATTAGTCCTGTGTAACCCGAGGGTCAGGGGCCTGTTTCACAGAGCCGGTTTTCTTGTTTAGCTAGATAACTTGTTGGATTTAATTTACCCCAGTTTAAATTACCTTTACGTTTGTCCACCTACATTTAGCTCAGACCACCTTAAATACAACAAGTTATCCCGCTAAGCAAGCAATACCTCAAACCAATTTACTCCATACTTCTTTAGTTGTAGCCAGTTTGTGTCTTTGCCCAAAGTCAGGTATGTCTGATACCATAATAATATTAAATGGGGGGGGGGTCACCTTTCCACAGGCTAGCAGTTCATGTATAGTTTCCAGCTAATATCAACAAAGCAATGCATGCATGTAAGTTTGTTTTATCTGATTGTGTTTACCTGAAAACCATGCCTTCTGTTTAAGTTGATCGTGTCCAGTATGATCTTCTCTATTTCGTGATGTATACAGTATTCAGATGTAGTTTCATTACACTACATGACATTGTCTTGCACTGTCTTCTGTTTCTAGAATGCAGTCTCTGAAATCTCTTCTTCACTGTCATGATCACCAACAAGAAACTAGGATAACACTTTTTATGAAATCAGATATTGCAAGTGCAATTATAACAATTCAAATTACATCCATCCATCTTCCAGCTGCTTGAACCAGCACAGGGTCAGGATGAGCTTGGAGCCAATCACAGGGCACAAGGCATGGGTACAGCCTGGACAGGATGCCCGTCCATCACAGGGCACAAGGCTTGGGTACAGCCTGGACAGGATGCCCGTCCATCACAGGGCACAAGGCTTGGGTACAGCCTGGACAGGATGCCCGTCCATCACAGGGCACAAGGCTGGGGTACAGCCTGGACAGGATGCCCGTCCATCACAGGGCACAAGGCTGGGGTACAGCCTGGATAGGATGCCCGTCCATCACAGGGCACACACACACACACATTCACACTTTATGGGTTATTTAGGGACACCAATTCACAGCTTCACACACACATGCCACGGGATCCAAACCACTAACCTGAAGGTGTGAGAGTACATTACACTAAGCTACTGTGCTGTGTTAAGGCATTAGTTTTGTAATTGGATAATTAAAATGCCAGACAGCTTGGTAGATGAGTGCACAGCTATATTCCCTCACACCTCTGGGATCAGGAGAGTTTGTATTTTGCCCTTATGATGCAAGGGATCCATGCTGCTGTCCAAATGCATGCAATTAGGCTGATAGGTATACTGTACTGTGGTGTATGTGGCAAAAGTATCAGGTAACTTATAATGATGGCAAACAATTGTGATAAAATGAAAATATATTTTCCTTCTTGGTAATATGGATCAACAAAAAAAGCCTTACTGTATCTTCCTTGAGCATTCTCCTCATAGGCATGGATTTCAAATTATAAATGTTAACAACAAACATTATGTATCACTATTTAAAAGGCCCCTGGTACACATCGCATTCCATTGTATCGTGAAAGTATAACTGAAATATTAAATCAATTTTAACAAAGAAAATTATACTGATGTAATGAAGTTTTTTCATTAATAAACAACTTGATGCTATTGTTCAAAGGGTGTGGATTGAAAAACATTACCTTAACGAAAGCAGGTCTCCACTGCTTGTTTTTTGGTAATATTGTATCTTATGGTCAGCCAGCACCTTAAAAACAGGTACTGGTACATCAACCATAAAACAGACTTACAATACATTCCTTGCTACCTAAAATGCATTCCAATTTATTAAAGAATCTATTTAAATGCTGCCTTTATGATCTAGAGTGGGCTGGAGTCCCATTGAGGGTGTCCTCTGCCCTGTGCTAGGTCCCAGGGCCCCTGTAATGGGTAAGCGTTATGTAATATCGATGGCTGGAGTGACATACAATTGAGAAAGCAGGATCTCTCAGTCTCTGGAGCAATTAAGGACCTTGCTCAAGGGCCCAACATTGAAATTACTCTGCCAGTGCTAGGATTTGAACCAGCAAGTTTTTGATCACAGGCACAGTAGCCTGACCCACTGAGTCTCACATCACCCCCTGAAAGTGACATGACAAATGTATAAATATGACCACTGTCTGAGAGCTACGTTTCATAAAACTATACAATGCCACCCACAATGGGAATTCAATAAAGTTGCTAAAAAACCGTACTTACTTATATATATATATATATATGTGTGTGTGTGTGTGTGTGTGTTTGTGTGTGTGTGTGCGTGTGCACTAAAAGAACCCCCCAGTACTCTTGCTTTACTCCTCACACACCCCCGGCCTACCCAAGATACTGGTACTACCTGTACTTGGATCTGCCAGGTCAAACATACAGTGTTGACGCCATAATCCCCAACTGTGCAAGGCCATTAGTTCCACGCCCTGCTGAAGTATAGGTTCCAAGCTTGCCGGGCTGCCCAAACAATCGGTGCAGACGTGAAAAAAGAGGCAATTTAAAAGAAGATGAAAAGCTGAAAGTGCAAGAGACATGCCGAGACGAAAGGGTATTTGGGAAACTGGACCTACCAGAAAATGATAAAGGACTTTTTGTTAAGCCCATTACATTGCAAGAAATTATAAAATGTACAATAACCGCTTTGCTGTATAAAAGTTAATCTACTTTTATTTTATCTCTATTGACTTTCAAACATATTGCAAGATGTGAACCAATACTACAGTGGGACATCTACACAGAACCTTGTAGTACTGTACAAAAGTCGCAGGCAGCCAAAGAAAATTATGTTTAAATGATCTTCATGTTGGTGTAAAACTATGCTGTTACGCTTGTCAAAAGTGTCAGCTTAGCCATTTCAAAACCTCTGCTAAAATCACCCCATTATTTCCACTAACCATACAATATACCCATGTATTTTTTGACCCGCCCACTAGCCCACCTCATATAGCTAATCAATATCTCACTGAATTTTTAATTAATTAAATTAATTAATTAAGTGAGCTGGTGGTGAAATTTTATAAATATATGAAATGGTTGGGGTGCCCCTGAAGAGAGGTTTGGGAACTGATCTAGCCATCCAACTAGATATCAGTAGCTTTTTAGAGAACAGAAGGCGATTTTGCTGGTTTTTTTATTGTGTTACTCCTAATTTGTATATGTTCTGATATTATATTGTGTTTTTGTTTTGAGTAAATGTGCACAAACTACGCAGACAAATAACTGCAAACATTTCTTTTGACTGTGTAAGACTTTTGCACAGTACTGTAGATGTGTGATAAAATAATATCAGAACTTTTCAAAACGTAACACAAATAACAGATAAACACAGAATATCACAGAATGACAGATAATGATGCACTCTGCTTTTCTATACAATAAGTAAATGTTAGTATGCAATCTTTGAGTACCGACAGCATCAAAACCACAGTGGCACCTCTCGATTTGACAGAGAAAGTAAAAAGAGAGTGTTGGTCTTGCCCTGGAAGTGAATCATTAATAATAATGCATCATTGTAATTGAAAATAACATTTTAATATTGTACATTACATATTTATATAAGGGTCCCCTCATTTGTAGCACTGTCTCCTCAGACTTCCAGGGTTGCAGCTTGTTAACTGAATTGTCGTCTCTGCATATTTACATGTGCTCCCTGTGATCGAATGGCATCTCGCACCTCAGCGTTATGCTGTCTGCTTTGTCCTGTGATGAGCTGCAGGCTAACCCTGTGACCCTCAACTGGGTAAGTAGGGCATGGTTTGATGAGTGCGAATCTACAGGCAGTCGGTATACAAAACGGGAGGCAATCATGCCTGAGGACAGAGGTGCCCAAATCTGACTGTTATACAGTTAAATGTTAACCGAATAATGGCCTATTAACCCATCCATCCATCTTCCCACCGCTTATCCTAGTCAGGGTTGCAGCAGTCTATTAATCATTCATCATAAAAATACTTTGTCATTTTGTATTTCTTGAACAATACTTGACATTAATGCCTTGTAAAGTAAATTTCAGTAGGCTGGTTTAAAGCCAATTTTTCAAAGGACACTTGGGGGAATGAGATGAACTTGCTTCTTAAGTAAAATGGACTGCAGTACATTGATCACGTCTAAATTAAAGAGATATTTCATTTGTAAAAAGTGAATATGTAATTAGGGCATTTGAAGTATTACGTCAGTATTGCTGCTGGGGTCTATTTATGCTCAAAGGGACTCTGCTCACTTAGCAGGAACTATGATACAGAAATATACAGAATTATTTTGATTGTAAATCGTTCATACAATTTAAATGCAATCTCGAAGACGCTTTCCTCGTGCATTCAGTCAAAATGTTCATTTCCACGGTTCTTCGCAAGAGAAATGGACCAGCATACCAAACAAATTAATCTAAAAGGTTTTCTTATTTGATTTCATTTGATTTGTACTGACAGTAAAATGTGTTGCTGGGAAAATGTTACACAAGTAACAATAACTGCAGTCCTGTAGGAATTCCCTGGGTGATTATAGACGTTTAGAAGGGGTATCTGCAGAGTTGCCTAGCTAATACCCAGGAAGGAAGCTTCGGGGAGGTTGGTTGGTTCTGGTTTTGGTAGACCTATAGTATTGTAGTCCTTGGAGTACAGTGCCCAACCAGACATTAATGGAGAATGTTCAGATCTTGATGGCTCCATCCTACATTTCTAGGGAGAGACATGCAAGGTTTTTTATGACATGCTTTTGATTACATTTCTATACCCTTAAACAGGACGGTATTATTTGTGAACTTTAACTGAAAATAATGCTACTTTAACAGAGACGTGCAGCCATTCTTTTATAGTAAATTAAATTAATGGTCAAAAGCTTATACTCGGGTAGTTGTGAAAAGAAAATCTACGGTGTAACATATTTTCTTCAGGCGAATCAATTTCCTTCTCGTCTTCTTAAGGTAATTAATTTGTAATGCTACGATTTCGCTTCCAGCTGCAGTTATATTTGAGTGAAAATCGGGCCCCTTGACAAAGCAATATATACGAGCCATTGTAAAACGTCAGGCAGCATTACCCAACACGTACGCAATAGGAAGCGAAAGCCATGAACTGGGAGGAGAGGAAGGTGGGTGGATCCAGACCCTGCTTTAAAAAGGACCTCGGAAGTGACGCCACCATTGCCGGCTGAGGGGCGATTGCTACGGTAAGCTCGGAAAGACGAGTGCTTTGGCGGCTTTCATTAACTTCGCTAGACAATTGGCGGTAAGGATCGTGGTTGATCCGCACGATCGCGCAGAAAACGCTGGGTTGTAATGGACGAGTTTGGGGTATTGCCTACGTTTGATGTATCTTTTATTTGAATCCGTAATAGTACGGGAATAGCTGGTGGTCAGAACAATTGAATTTCTAGGGGGTCTGAGGGAGGGGACTTTATCTCTTCGTATTAAATTGAGCACAGAGCTGGTGCACGCAAGTTACCAGACGTGCATACACGTAAGTGCAATGCTACACAGAACAGAGATCGTTTATTGTACTTTAGGCTGGTGTTCAAGAATGTAGCGCGATATTATTCGCCTAGGGGTAAGTCGGCGAAACTAATAATGGGGGGCCTTCTCGTTTATGTGCGCTGGATGAAGTTTGACTGTGGGTGCGACGGAAGGCGCGCGGGGGTGCGATGCGCGAGCGGCGGCCGTTTGGTCGGTCGGCCGTCCTGCACGCGCAGCGGTGTCCCTTCGCATAAGTCCCCGGCGACGGCGTGAAAGGCTCACCTGGAGGTTTAAGTAGCCCTGTGCCGTGGTCTGTGTGTGAACAGCATTGCTCCCCCACACTTCCTCCTCAGTTCTGCAGAACCGGGCCCCCGCGTACCCGGCTACTGAGCACAAAGAGGACCACCGCCTCCGCCGTGATGCTATCCCGCGGGCCAGCTGCTCTCGGTCCCGCTGCGGTCTAGCGCCTCGCTTTCGGTTCGGGGTGAGCTGCGGTTCCCCTTCCTCACGGGTTATTTAAAGCTCTGTAACACGCCGCACATGTAACCTTTGGTCGCTGGTGGGTAAGCTTGGTTTCTTTCTTGGTCGTTACAAGAAGCGACTGGAAAGCTAGCTAGCTAGCCGGCTAAAAGGGATGGTCACTTTTGTGTATTAAGCTTAAAGTATGAAGACGGTGTCTAGGCGGCTGGATACATAGGCGATTGTTATTAAAAATTCCAGGAGTCAAGTTTAGTTAAAAAAAGAGAACTTAAAGACTTGTTAGTAATTTCACTTTGTGGTGCGTTTTTGACATTTACATGTAAGACTAACATTTTCGAAATATAAGATAATACTTAGATAAGTGCACTTCCTTTCAAATGAGCACTTTACGTACGTAATATTTGTGATATGTGACATACATGAAAGTTAATTTAAGTAGGCTAAATAATGGTTCTTCGCTACAGCCAGGCTTTTTGTAGTGTTCAAAGAGTTAACTGATTAACTGATTCAACTTTATAATAGCCTAATACTTCGTTCAAGTAAGTGGTTAAGTGTCCGTCTTAAACTGCACACTGATGTAGGTTAGGGACCATAAATCAGAATTGGTCTGCAAACCGTTGACCTCATTGAGGTCAGGCTGACACAAAGGTACTTCATACCATGCAAATAAGTTAAATCTGATTCTCTGATTACTGTTAGGTTGTTTGGGGCTAGGGCGGTGGTAGGTCACTTTAGAGAGGGTTTGAAGGCTTTCGTTTTTTGTTTACTCCCTATCATTGGCCAAGTGCAGAGATCCCCCCAGAAACCTGCTATGCCGGGATCTGTTGCTTTTCCATTTCTGTCGAGCTGTTCAAACTTTCTTTTGCTTTGGTTCAGCTGGAGCCTTCAATCAAGTCGAAGGTTTTGACTGCAGATTAATTGTCATCCATCCATCGAAGTTTCAGTAATAATTTGTCCGGAACCTATACCAGATGCTACGGGTGCAAGGCAGGGTAAAACCAAGGATGGGCCACCAACCCATTACAAATATGTATAATTGTCAGTAATTGCATCATTAATCTAGGTATAATTTAATGGTGGTCAGAAAATGGTCATCAGCGCAGAAAATTTATTCCCAGCTTTTGGTTTGTGGTGTATAAGCATGCCAGAATACGAGAATTTGAATTAGGTCAACTCTTTAAGGCCTCAACTATTAACTGGGCAGAAATAAGTAATGTTAGAAATGATTGATGTACATTTATCTGTACTGGGAAGTTCCTATTAGGTCGGTAAAACGAGTGAATCTGTAACATCTTGATTATATGTGATCTGTGTTGTGTAGCTGATTTAACCAAGAGCCCAATGAAAGTAACAGCTCTAATGAAAACCTGCACACTTTGGCCTTCAAGGACCCGTGCTTTTAGGCACTGCTGTTACAAAATGGATCACACCACCTGTTTTGGATGCCTTTTTACTTAAACCTCATGAATTTCACTATTACCTCTTTTAATGAATGTGTTCCTAGGAGTAATCCACATAGACCTCTAAGGAACGTAGTTCTTTGAACCTGTTTTGTGATAACCATACGAGTCAGTCTTGCTTACTGCTTTGTGTATGTTCACTGGCTAATGTAGTTCACCCCCACCCCATGGTTTGGTTTCCCCTTCCCTCATCTTTTGAATGTATAATGTCATTTGTGCATGACTTTGATAGATGGCTGAACTGCATAAAGCACTGGTGTTTCATGTTAACACTGTCATTAAACCGTAGTTTGTGCAGCCAGTGGACATATGTAACTTCCTACAGTTGTCAACAAAAGTATACATGAAAATGGCCTGTAGCAGACTTTATTTCTCTACCAAACTTTTAGCTGCAAACCTACGCAGACATCTGGATTCTTGCCCATGCTGATGGCTTTAATGGCCACGTTGGTTATTTGGTTGGATTTATTTGCAATAGTGGGCTATATAGCAGCATTCAGAGATTGATCTTAAAACCATGCCATCTTGTTTTTGTCTTGTAGAGTGAGAAAATTATGCAAAGAATTTCTTCACCATGTATCCTGGTCAGGGTCATGGGGGAGAGGGTGCTAAGCCATCACAGTTTACTTGCATTCATGAGCTATGGTTCAAGTGGCCTACCTGCATGCCTTTATGGACTGCAGGAGGCGTCCTCAAAGGGAATCCTAACCATGAAGGTGTTGGGCAACAGCTCATGAGCTGGCCTGTCATTCTTTTACGAATAGCTTTTGTGAATGTGTGTGGTAAAAGGTGGCAGTCTTTCTCGTTTAATTTTTTTTTATATCCTACCTTCAGTGAAGAGATGTGGAGGATATGCTGCTTTATTGAGCAAAATATTAAGTTTAAAGAATCAAAGAAAGCAGAGCTTATGCAACAAGTGTCCTTAAGGCATATTCCTGCGAGTCCGTTGGTTTTCCTCAATATACGGCAGTAAATAAATTTTGTAGTGTTTGCTTGCTTTGCACATATTTTAATTGTGAATTGTTTGCCATGAGATCAGTGCTTACAAAAATTCCACACCAGGCCATGCTGTAAATTCAGCAAATGTCATAGCTTCTGTGCTTATAACCAATAATGCAGGTTATATACATTACACAGTGAAGACTGGATTGTCTGTGTGCATGTAAGACACTTTTACTTAAGATACCATAAATTCAAGCTGAATGTTGATTCAAGCTGATGCCTCTTAGCTGCTCCTGCAAACCACAAGCCGTTGAAGTGAAAGAACTTTTTTGGTTAGCAGGCTATATTTATGTACATTATGTGTATATGCTGAAGGCTGATTAAATTAGTTGTCTGACTTGTTCGTACATTTCTAGCACCTCTATGATTGTTCTTGCATTCTTTCTCAAGTTTGTATCGTTTTGTGAAGCTGCCTTTGTGTCATCTTTAAAAAGCCAGTAGGGCCGGAAGATGCCCCAATTCCAATTTACAAACTATTTGATTCAATCTGATTCTATATGAACCTGATAAGAATGAGATGAATACTATATAGCAGCTTTCCGTAGTTTGAGACATGTTTAGAAAGCTGTAAATGGAACACAAATTTACAGATGCCGAGTCACTGGAAACAAATTGTGGAAACCAATGAAGAAAGACCAAAGGCTTGTATACCAAATCTTTATTTGAATAACATATGGGAATACTTCCTTAAAAACAACCAATCTGTCTCTTTCAAACCACCAAAAATTACTTCTGACTGAAAAGAATAGCTGAAAATAGTGTTCACCTCATGTGTCAGAATGGACTTTAACTTGGATATGTGCAAGAATAAATTATAATCTTGAGGAACATACAGGTATTGTTTAGGGCTGGGAGATGACTCTGACCTCACAATTTTCATTTGATCAGATTTCGATTCACAGGTGCCCCGACTGGATTCCATTTAAGACTCTTCAATCTACATTTAAGACACATTTACTAATATGTGATCAACCCAGATCTGTTGTAAAAGACATGTACAGCACTGTAGCCTTAACATTGCAAAGCAACATAATTGTTAGCATTACATAAAAAAAGATATTGGGAAAAACAATATATAATGACATTTATTCTTGTGCTTGCCTGTGAATCCAATAATTTATTTGCATTGTTTGCTTTTATTTAGTTTTATTTTGCTTTTATATAATTCTATTTTACATCACTGTAAGCAGTGTTGTGGTGGACTTGACTTGCACCAAGATCTGGGCACGAGGCAATTGCACAATATTATTGCAACCCTCCTGTAGGTGAAAGTAGCACCACCTATACGATAAGGGCACCGATACAGTAAAATTCAGTAAATATTTTTCATAGTCATGGGGGGAAAAAGGCTTTAATGAATCTTGGGATTTTATAAATCAATATTGAATAGTCAAAACTAGGATCACAATTAATCATATTTCCCACCCCTAGAAACCAGTTGTGTGGAACTTCTGATTCCTGATTTAGACCCACTTAAGCTGGTTTAAATTCCAGTGCCTCAAAACAAAAGTTACCCCCCCCCCCTGGTTTCTGACTGCTCTGCTGATTAAGCCTAATGATTTGGTGACTAGTGTCAACGGGATCCCTTGAAAGTACTTAAGTTCTTGGCAGTTGCTCTTCTAAATAGCTAGTAAGTTGGTTTTGATGACTCTGTTCGAATGCCCTTAACATGCTGTTACCCACAAGCTGTTACCCACCCCACGTTTAGTATTACATTGGTTTGCAGTGCTCCGGATAGGCTGTGAGGCACGATTCACTCTCCTTGGGACATCAGTTCACTTATAATGGGCGAGCCACATGGCCAGATGTTCCCAACCCCCAGTCCTTGGCCAGTTTTGTAGTGGGCCACTGAATGCTGGAAGTTTTGTGAAGTGAAATGAAACTATGCATTTTCATTTTTTTTTTTTTTTTTCATTTTTTTTTTTTTTTTTTTACAACCTGTCAGTTTGCGCATTCTGTTCCCATCTGAAATAAACAGAAACCATTTAAGTTGAGATCGGGAATCGATCTGCTGGTTTCCCCCTTCTTGGCCTTTTCACTGTGCCGTGAAACTTTTCTACAGTGTAAACCAGGCTGCAGATACGAAAAGGTTGGGAACCTCTCGTGTAAGTGCTGTGCACAGCTGGCACTATGTCTTTGCACATTGGGAAGATGCTGGAGTACCTGTAGGAAAGTCTTGTAAGGATAATGTAGCAAGTCTGTTCTTGTGACGCTGTGGGCATCAGGCAGAAGTGCTGTTGAAATAATCAGTGATTAAAATCTAAGGTAGCAGACTTTACCTTGTTAGCCAACATGTTCAGTAATGTAGCTTTCTAAATTTTAATTCTGCCTGGACACACACACACTAGTACTTAAACTGCTGTTACAATGTCCAAGCAAATGTGCATGCATTTTCAGATATTTTAGTGAGTCTGTGGGTTTTTTAAAGAATAATAGGGATCCCATAGGCCGTATCTTTTTAAATATTCAGCCTTAAGCGGTCCTTCATTCTTTGTTGTATTCTGCTGTCGGTGTGATATGGTGTACTCTGAGTAAAACAGTGTGCCATTATTGAAAGTAGGGCAGCAGAAAAGGCTGACATTTCACCCTTAGGACAGGTACTAAGCAGGTACACTCTGGCCCACGAGGGATCCAGTTGAGCAAACTGGAGTTGGTCACATTCTAGACTGGTCTATAGAACCACCTGGAAACTTCAATCCAGGGCCTACCTGTCCCCCTGCAATGAAAGGAACACACTGTGGTATGACATGGATCTGGCCCTACAGAGGGGGAGAAAATAATTTTTTTTTTTTTTTAAATTTTATTTATTTTTTTTTAAACGAAGATAAGGCAAATGTCGACAATGAATGTTAGTTTCTGTATTCTATTTTGCCATGAACCCAAGTTTTAATCTAGAGTCCTGGAACTAATCTAGTGTCCTTTATGCACTTTGCCTTACCAAGCAGCTAATTATGCATGGAAGTACATTTTGGCCTTCTGAGGTGATTTGTGAAATGTCACCTTCACTTGAGTCTGCTTTTCATTGACTGCAGAAAGACATGTGTGACTAGGCTTTGCGTGGTAAAATGTCATTCCCTTACACTTAGGTCTTTGTTGGCCCATATCAGTGTCTCTCCATTCAGTAACCCTCTTTCACAATGCATTAAGCTCAGCTGTTCATGTTACCAGCCTATCTTTGCTCCTATCTCAGGAGTCTAGTTAGTGCCTGGCTGTCCCGCCTTTTATCGTTCAAAGTCCCAAAGCCATTGACTTTGCATAGCTGTCAGCTGCGCCAGCCGCACCCGCCTCCCCTTTGATCAACACGGACACATTTTTCCAGGCTCCGGATTTAAATGCGGGTGTGACGTCTGTTTGCCTCGCTGTTACTGGAGTCCCCGGGCCTATCCCGCAGGTAGGATCGTCTCGCTGACGTGCGAGCTGTTCGTCACAGGGGCGTGTGTTTGCACAGCTTAAGTTTCTCTTCCAGAGTTGTGCTGCAGTAAAATGAAACTTTGGTGGATGAGCAGGGTGTGTGTGTGTGTGTGTGTGTGTGTGTGTGAGAGAGAGTGTGTGTGTGTGAAAAAGAAGTCATGATGACCTCAGTGCCTGATGTTTCTACAGTTGTATTTTGAGAGCTTTAGGAAATTGAAGGCCGTTTGTACTGAATTTTATTGCCTGTTTCTGTTACTCTTAGGAAAGATTTGAAGGACTTTTGTGTATAACAAGAAATTGCTGGACCCCTGCATTCTGAAATATGAATTGGTATTTGCTTTTTTTTTTTAAGCTGCATTTTGTCACTCCTCTTAGGGTGTTTTGGAGTTTCCTATTTAAACAACGGTGAATCTCTACCGTTATCAAAAAAAGTGGAACCAGCATGGTTTTAAGTTGGATCCTTCAAGGGCCTGTTTGCCGAGTCTGATCCTGAGACCCAGCTCCTAGCTGTGGCCAATGACGTTTGATACAGATTAGTAGTTTGCTAAGCAGAAAGTAATTTGATGAAATCTTTTTCAGAATAGTTTTGTGCACGAAATGAGTTCCCCAAAATGAGATGCAGGCTGGGGGTGTACTACTGTACTTTTGTCTTGGGCTCCAAAAATTGCTGTAGCCAGTCCTGTCTGCATAGTTGTAGCAGATCATTTCCGTGTTAGGATTTGTTGCCGCCGGGACCAGTTGAGACCCAGTGCCAGTAAATGAATCCTTATGTCCCCCCTCCTAACCCATAGTTATCCTTCCAGAACGCCACCAAATTGATGTGAATGGAAAAAATTTCTCCTCCCCCTGCCCTTTAAAAAAATTTTTTAAGACCTTTTTTTTTTCCTTTGCAGGAAAGAGGGAAGCGGACTGTTCCAAGCGTGTGATCGTGGACGGTGAGCTTGCATCCAGAAGGGGGGGGGGTGTCCATGGGCTGATCTGCCCCAGCTTCCACGTCGTCTTGTCCTCGTGTCTTGTAATGTGAGCCTTTGCTGGCATCTGGCGGGAGAGCAAGAGTGAGCGAGTGAGAAACCAAGAGGTGGGGGGAATCCCCTCTTATGAGAGGACGAGGAGGCATCTGCGAAAAGACTGGAGCTCCTAAATCCACCAGCGTGACTCGCAAGCATTCAGACTATAGTTGTCCTGCATTTCCCCCTCGGAGGTGAAAAGTGCTGCAGATCATCAAACAGAGCTCGTTTGGAGAGGCTCTTACTGGGGACCAACAGGCTTTTTTTTTTGTTTTTTTTTTTGCGTCTGGATTTGCAGTATGGCCAAGAAGAATAGCCAAAAGGGTAAGTCTTCATCCACTGTCAGCATTGTTAACTCCTTTGTGCTGCCTCTGTTTTCCTTTAAGGCCACTTCCACTGCATGTACAAGGTGGCGACTACAGCCTTGAGACCCCTGTGTGTTGTGGTGCCATCCCAGGAGATTTCCTACAATGAACCTCACTGTGCACCGCAGTGCAAATGAGCGCTTAACTCCTCTGCCCCCAAGTGTGGGGAAAAAAGCAGCTTAAGTGGCCTGTCTTTGGCATGGGGACCGTCTGCATCCCATAGGCATTGTGTCACGTGTATCTGCGTGACATACAGAATCCTGACCTTATTATGGGGGGCGTTCCCAGCTGTTTCTTGCTGGCTGTGCACAGGAAGCCCAGATACATGTCGGTAATCTGCACTTAAATCACAGGCTTTCCCGTTCCAACACCTGAGATTTAGGCAAGCGCTGTATGGTCCAAAATGAGGATGATGTGTTCATGGGAGCACTGGGTCGTGTTGCTGTTAGTTTTAGTGCCATGTAGTTGATGCTTGCTCCTGGTGACCCTGTAGATGAGATTTCTTCTGAATTTCAGGGTGTTCAGACTCGAGTTGACAAATTTTTCTTAAAATTCTAGCCTTTTCACTAAGACTTCAGCCAACTTAGGGTATTTTCCTTTTGCCTGCTGGGATACAGATAGAAAACCTTTTGCTTTCCTGAAACTGTTGCTCAAGGTGCTGATTTTTGGTCTTGTGCACATGTGACCTTGTGGCTTAGGACCTACTCAGACAAACTGGATGTTCCTTACCTTGGCTTGCATGTGGGCTTGTGCTGATGTGGAGGAACAGATGAACTCTGGCTAGTGACTAACAAGCCTGTGGGAAGTTGATGCTGCCGGCCAGTCTTATCTGGTCCACCGTCTGAGCTATAGGACACAGTGAATTCCAGATGTCCACCCTCAGGATGGGAATTACTTGAGCCCTGTAATTCCACCCTTGCCAGTTGCTCTTCTGCTATCTCCAACCTGCCACGCTGTAAAAGTGGGAGGCCAGCCAGGCATTTATCACAGAGCTTGGAGCACAGCCCTCTGATGCTCCTAGAGTTTCTCAGGGCGCTTTAAAAGCGGATCGGCTGTCGTCTCGCTTGTTCACCACATTGTTGGTTCTGCCTGGAGAGCCTTCAAGCATGCAGTTTTTAACTTGCCACTTAGGCTTTAATGCCATATTTATGGCACCATTGGCGCTGGAAGGCTTAGTTGTGTTTTTGAAGCGGAAGTACAGAGACACTGAGTGAGAAGATCCCCCTCGTGTCCGAAACGGCTGTGTTTTAGATATCCTAGCTACTCAGCAGAGACCTCCCTCATGTACTTTGCTGTTTGTTGCTTTTAACTTAAGTTGTTGCTGAAGTATTGCACAGCTGTGGTGTATTTGGACTCTGACATAGGCTGTGCGCATTTCCATTTTGGATTCCACTGAAAACCAGTAATGTGCAATGACTTTCAGTAGGTTTTGTTAGCTGCTGACTGCTCTGATCCTGAGACTTTTGTTTGGCAAATCTGTAGCCTCATTTGAACGGCTTTGCAATTCTTGTCACCTTAATTAGGGAAATTGAGGGGTCAAGGGCATCCAGGAAAGTCCAGAGGGTTTATGCATGTGGCAGAGTTTCAAGCAGTGGCATTCTCGATGCGGCTCGGACATGATTTTCTAATTAAGCCGCCTTTGGCAGGCTTGCCATGAGCAGCGTTTCACTGAGACTGACTACTCCCATGCCAGTCCAGTTAGCTGCATAGCCAACCTCCAAAAGGACAGCCAGCTGTGACAAAACAACCTTGTCATGTCATCTCTCTTCTGCCACTTTAGGGCTTGGTTGTGCAACTGTACTGCACTGTAACATCAGTGGGGCTAATTGGGGCCAAGTTGCCAAGCGGGGCTGCTAGATCACTTATTACTCAACTGGTATTTTTAATCCGAGCACCTCTACTCAACCGGAGGCACAGTCCATACAGATAAGATATTTATGTTTGGTGTGTCTATTTATATACTGCCTACTCATCCTTGTAGGTATTGCACGTATTTAAGGTTTTATTGAAAATTAAATATGATATGGTCCTCCTGCTTTCTGACACCTATGCTTGATTGTTGCTCTTAAGTGGCACTCAGTACCGACCAGAGACACACTGGCTTCTTCTCTGAGCAGTTGTTTTTGTTCATGGCTGATCAGCCCCTGTGGCACTAAGCAGGATGGAGGAACAAGGGAATCCAGTGCTATAGGAGTCTCCAGACCCAGGTAGCACCTGACTGGCTGAATAGGTTGGACACCTGAGGGTATGAGACACCTGGCTATTTATATCTGTCCCACAGGCAGTGCCTTTCCAGGCCCCTCGTAGGATAAACTGCTGTACCTTGAGTAAGGAGGGTAGGTTTTCGTTTTAAGCAGGACTGATATTTAAACAGCATGACTTCAGTAGGTTATGTTGGTTTTAAAGGAGGGCCCTTGGCCATGCATTCTTGACCACCTTCTGCAGGTATGCTTAGTTCTGCCCTGCACCATGCTAACACCTGGGGCTATTTGTTCTAGATGTCAGCGGTGTGGTGTTCGACACTCACTCGAAGATGGTGATGTCCCAGGGAGGCACCTTTGAGAGGATGAAGGAGAAGGTAAAGGTTTACTAGCCCCCCACACACACACACACACACACACGCTTCGTGTTCTGCCACTGCCTTGCCCCGCCCCTTTTTTGCATGCATTTTGTGTGCCCTGCAGTAGTTAATGTCACATACAGCTGGTGTTAAAAAAAAAAGAAACAAACATGGTATTCAAATACAGCCATGCCCTCACCTTCCTGCGTCAGTCTGCACCTGTTCCAGAATTTCTGGTATTCAGAGGTCTACCAGTTTAAACCTGGTGCTCCAGGAGTGTAGCAGGAAATGGGCATTTTTAAATGTCTGCATTAGTACATAATGTTGCAGTGGATAGGTCTTTTGCTGTGATGAATTGCTTGCTGTTCTGTCATCCCTGTCTGCTTCTCCTTATCTTCCCAAGATAAATGCGGTTAGGGCAGTTGTTCCCAACAAGAGCAACAACGAGATCGTTCTGGTCTTGCAACACTTTGACAACTGTGTTGACCGTGCCGTCCAAGCCTTCGTGGAAGGTAATGTGACAGCAACTTGCCCCCCCACCCGTGTCACTGTGACACACGAATTGACACACAAACGGTTGTGACCCAAATCTTGGTCTGCCTACACTGAACATGCTGTGATGTGCATTACTGCAATTAAGAACGTACAAATTTATGGTGGCGCTAGGTCAACAAGTTAGATAATTAATTAAGATTTACATTTGTCTGTCTAAAAATCATCAATCCTGCCAGTTAAATGAAGGTTGCTTTCAGCTTCTACGCTAACCAGCTGAGAGCTCATTGTAGTATTCCTTCTAAATTATTAGCTCAGAAATCAAATGCCTAGGTTGGGGAAACTTTGAGGAGTTGGTACTGATGGCAGTTTAAACGGTGCTATAACCTGCACTGTAGTGTTATGGTTGAAAAATGTTTCTGCTGCTCTTTGAATCAAATTGCCCCTAGAATTTTTTTCTTTTCTTTTTTTTTTTTTTCTTTCTGAAATGGTTCTGGTGAGTCAGGCTTGGCAGCCCGTAAGTCTGCCTCAGTCTGTATGTGTCTGGACCAACAGCCAGGCCCTGACGTGGCAGTGCTGGAGTAGACTGCCGTACTCGGGCCATAAACAACAGGCGCTTTGACTCTAAGCCCAGGAAACGATCCCCACCCACCCCCGGTCCCAGAGCTTCTCCAGAGGTCTGCTGCTGTTTAGTCCTTGCCTGCGATCAGAAACGCAGCAGGTTTTAAAGATTTGGCCTCTAAACTTTTGTCTTGCTCCGTATTTCTCCAATATTCAGAAATGCAAACATTAGTGTTTCGTTACTTTAAGTCAAGTAGAGTGGTGAGTCATGTGTCTCACCAGTCTGACACTCATGGCTGTCCATTTTGAAAGGTTACATGTCTGACATGATTTGGATGTTTGTCTGTTTCCCTGTCAGGTAGTGCAGCTGATATTTTGAAGGAGTGGAATGTAACTGGTAAAAAGAAGGTATGCATGTGTGCTGACTGCACATTGTTTTAATCTGCAACATGTATAATTAGCCTTTTTAAGTTATTTTATGCTGGAATAATGCTGACTGAAACTGGTTTTTCTCCCTTTCATAATTCCTGTATTACAATGCTTTTGGAAAACAGCCCAAGAAGAAAAAACCCAAACCCCAACCAGAACCACAGCCAGAACCCGCCCAAGCTGTAGTCACCCCTCCTGCAGAGAGCAAAGATGAAGTGAATGGTTTCCATGCCAATGGGTCAGTCATGGATGGTGACTCTTTGGACTCCCTGAGCGAGCAGTTGGAGTCGGCCTCCCTTGATGCCACCGAGCTGGACTCGGACACTGCCACACCTGACCTTTTAGATGCTACAGGTATCTGGGTAATATAGGAACCTCAAGAGAGATGCGTGCTGCTCTGCAGTTCAGTCCGTCATTAGAACATCAACAAAAGTATAGGCAGAGTTACGGACGTCCATAGACTTTGCATGCCAGTGACTTTGTAACGTAATTCTATGAAGATGTAGCTGAGACTTCTTCAAATCCCTACTTTTTCTATTTTCCTTGTTCTAGCTAACTTGTGTCATTAGATTTGCTCTGCTCAGCTGGTACAGACTTGGTTCTACAGAGATATAACAGATTATTAACAGCTTGGGTTTCTATAAAGAACATTATGAATGTAGGAAGTAAGTGATTCACCCACACTACCAAGTATTCTTTAAGTGACAAAATTGCAGAGAATACAAATGTACTGTATGCCAATGAACATATACTGTGTGTGTGGGGGGGCTTTTAACTAGGCTGTAACATTTTGTGTGTTTGTAGAATTCATGCATTATTTTTGTAGATTTCTACCATCTTGTGTTAACCTTGAGTTCCGTTGCATCCTGGTGCTGTTTAACCCAAAATATCTGCCTTGTTTTAAGCTGCTGATATGGATTCTAAACCCGATACCCTGAGTCTGGGGTTTCAACACACCCACGTGGGGAGAAGTCACCAGGGTCCACGTGGCAGCAAGAACCGTCCTCGTCCCTCCCTCTCCTCCCAGCAGGCATCTGTCTTCTCCCTGCTTGCTCTCGATAGCCAGCATGGGGCATCTGCCAACAAGAAGATAGGTAAGCCAGAAAGGGAAGCGCAAAGCGGTTTAAAACTGATGGTACATTCAGCATTTTCTGAATCATTGAGGGTATAATGAGAGCTACGGTTTCTGTATTTGGCCCTGATAAGAATAGAATACAGTTAGTGGGTTTCAATAAATTTGGTCTTGAGGATTGAAACAAATGGGTCCTCGGTAGCACTGTTACTGTTCAGTTGTTGAACTGAAGCTGTGCCTGAGGCCACCACAAAGTAGGAAGGAGGGTAGAGGTGCTGGATGTCATTCTTTCAGTAAGATTTGATTAACAACCTACTGTGGGTGGATCCCTCAGTTTATCTGCTGGAATGTGTAGATCAGTGTTTCCCAAACTGGTCCTTAGGGACTGTGAGCTGGGAGGGAGCAAAAACGTGGACTGTGAGCTGGGAGGGAGCAAAAGTGTGGACTGTCTGGGGGTCCCTGAGGACCGGGTTGGGGAAACACTGGTATAGATGACCTGTTGGCACTGTCAACAATGACATCGATGCAGTGTGGCAAATGAATGTAAAGCCGTTTTTCAGTTAAACATGAGGTCTGGTGTCTAAGGCTCTTCTGTCTGGAACACGCAGAGCTTTAAACATTGTTTCACTTTCTAACCCCTACGTAAATGGTAAATTTTGTACTTTATTAGCACATATTAGAATATGGATGTCAGCAATAGTGCAAATCCTCATTCCACAAGCTGCACTTGAGTTGCTTCTAATGGTAAACTTAACAGTCACGTGCTACTTGATACTGTATCCTGATCTAGTGGTTTTTTGGGCCTGGCAGACTGCCATGCCTACAGGATTGGTGAGGTTTCAAAAAACGGTTAAGGAATTAGAGCTAGGGCTGCACGATTTGGGGAAAATATCGAATCGATATTTCTGACAATTGCGATTACGATTTGATTTGCGATTTAATTTTTTTTGTCACGCTTCATTTCAATATTCAGTGTGTAGTAATTTTAAAACATGATGCAGCATAAGATACCATCAGTATTAACTGGTCTATATTCTAATGCAAGGATGAGAATTTAAAGATGTGACGTGTGAAGTTAAAGTAATAATGAAAACAATTGCAGCAAAAAGAAAAATAACGATCTTGCAGGTAACGGTTATTGCCCCCCTAATAACACTAGAACCGCCTTTTCCCACACCAATGAACAAGCAAGAACTACTTCGGTGTATGCAGCCCTTTTGTTTGCGCTGTTGTGTTAGCTGCTGTTAATAACACTAATAACACTCAAAAAACCGTAATGCTCATAAGAGTGGCTGTTCTGTCCTGAAACCGTAAAGCTGGACATTTTTAAACGCAGTATGCATTTTATAAAACGTTGAATAAATAGAAGTTGTTTATTGGTGATTTCATGTTGGTCTAAGTTTCCGCTTTTTAATAACTGTATATGATTATTTTCTTTACAAATCAATTCAGGTGAAACAAAAAATGTACGTGTTCATGGTTGCAAACTCTTTCAGACTCACGCAAGAAATCTTACGGCAAATCTATATTCCATTCTGAACTTTAAATTAGCTGCATCAAAAACGTTACAGCAGTTTGCAAACCCTACAGACTATTTACAAGGTAATAAAACTTACATACATGTAAATGTGTGTGCAGAACATAGAACAGAAATCTCACTCCATGCAGCTGACCAAAGTTGCCAACCCTGCATTTTATTTTAAACGAGAAGTAAAATGCAGTTTTCAACTGAAGCAGCTTATTCCTGTGCTTTGTTACTCGGACAAATACAAAACAAATGATTCAACATTATGTGCATCTCTTTTTGTATGTTTTCTAAATAAGACTGCGTGCCCATACCCAACTGTAATAGCGATTAAAGCGATCTATTCTTTTAGTATTTGTTAAAGCAAGACTTATATTATTACTGTTGTGGGATTAATCTTTGGAAACGCATAAATTTAATAAGCACAAAAACATATGACATAAACATGACTGTATTGTGGGTTTACGGCTTTTTTGGAGGTCACCGACTCCGCTGCTGTGAGAATTACTGACTGTCTAATTGTTATCTTGATGCGGTTAGCGGTATACTAATGCTATTGCCTATTAACAAAAACCAAAGGTATGATACACTGAAGTATATTGTAGCTGGTGTTTAAAAGGAGCTTGCCGGTTCTATTGATAGGACCTTTCTGAAACAATCTCGGACCATGAAATAGGAAGGCAATTCACTTGCGGCTCAGCAGCGGAATCAGTATTTTTCCGCACCGCAAATGTAACATTTTCCTTGGGTTTCACGTGTATTTTGTTTGTGGGCCTATACGCCTTCTTGGGTCACTTCTGATTGGTGAGCATGACTGTCACACAGGGAGCATGGCATGAATTTGTAAAACTATTCTCACAGCAGTTTTAAACCCTGGGTCCTATGTGCTGTATAATGTATATCCTAAATCGCGATTTTTGAGACTTGCTAATCGTGTTCCAAACCGCGATTTCGATTTGAAGTCGATAAATTGTACAGCCCTAATTAGAGCTATTATATAGACCATATAATCATATGGGCAGACCTAGAAAGGCCTTTTAGTTCAATGCTAATGTTTGAGGGTTTTTTAAGTTGCTGTTTTAAAATTCTGCATTATAGTCCTTTTCTTGTAAAATTAACAGTACATCATGGTATTTTTACTATGCACATGAATGTCTCAAATTCACTCGAGTTTATTTCGAACTGCTTTAATATGAAATAATTTGTTTCCTTTAATATGAAATCAATCGCTTCCAGATCATCAGTCTCAAGGCAAGTTTTAGACCTGGAAGATTAGATCCCAGAGGTATTCATGCAGTTTCCACATTATCTGCAGAGAAAGTGGTGAATTTAGAATTCTAAAGGAAAAGTGTTCTTTGGGGTGGCCCCCTGCCCCCAGTAGTTATAATTGGAGCAGTTTGGGTTGGTGTGTCTCAGCAGCCTGAACTAATACCTTGTCTCCACCTTTCTCAGCACCTAACATCGATAAGTCCATGAAAGACTTGCAGCGCTGCACTGCCTCTCTCACTCGCTACCGCGTAGTGGTGAAACAGGAAATGGACTCTTCCATCAAGAAGATGAAGCAGACCTTTGCTGAGCTCCAGAGCTGGTCAGCATTTCTCCATCACATTTCATTGGTATCTAGGCTTCCTGCCCAGATTCCTGCCCTTGTAGTGATTATTTACCTTGTGTGTGGCAACCTTGTACGGTTGTTTTTATATGTATAATTTAAAAGGGGTAGAGTGCTAAATGGTGATTATAAACAGTTATAACCTTAAAGTTGAGTTGGTACTTTTAACCGCAGTGCCCAAGCAGTCTTTGCTGGCATTGTTTTACAGCTGCATAGAGTACCTCTGGCTTGTCAGCATAAGCAAAAGTGGTGCTGTATGACCTCTGTCTGTTTGTTCTTTTGGTAGAAATTGATATGTGTCACGATGTTAATGTCACTTAGGAGCCTAAAACTAACAGTGAATCAGTTCAGGACGAACTCTGTGCTGTTGCATGATCGGTCAGGTTGTCCTGAAAAACAATTTTGTAACGTCTCATCAGTTCATGCAAACATTAAATTCATTTTCCCTCATCCCATCAACTTGTCTATAAAAAGGTATCACAAAGACTGGTTGACATCTGAAAGTGGAGGCCTTATCAGGGGTATGCGAAAGGTCATGGGTGCTGTGGCAAGCTCTGTAATCATGTCTCTCTTCCAGCCTGATGGATCGAGAGGTGGCCCTGTTAGCAGAGATGGATAAAGTTAAAGCTGAGGCTAGTAAGTACTTCCTCCATGTGACCTTGCATCTTATCAATACATTTCTGATGTGGTGAATTTGTCTGGAATGATGACTTTCTTGATCAGTAGGACCTTGACAAAGTTCCAGCATACTGTAGAATAACATTCCAGATGGTTGGTATATAGTTTCATGCCTAAAGTAATGCTGACTGTTATTGTGATGACATTTTAGCTTGATGCTGTTTTTTTGCCTTAAAGAATCAAGATGGTTCTTTATGAATGAAGTACAAGCTTCACCATTTCTCAGATGTTTGATGCAGGTGTTGCCCTCTTTAGACTGAGAAGGAATGCATAGTTACTGAATTGAGGTCTTCATTAGCTGGCTCAGTGGAGTTGTCATGAGGAAGGCCAGAACAGTGTGAGGTGCTTGACTGTGGTATCTGGGAGTGATTTCGCTTTATGTGTAAACGGGGGTGATTTAGGGGAGGCAGCCTTTTGTCAGGGAGCTGTGTGTGATGGTTGACCAGAGTCTTCCCCATTCATAGCCACTGCAGACAAGGGAATCCCTCTGCTGAAGTCATCCAAGGCGGAGTGCAGCAGTGAGTGTAGTCGGAGCAGTCAGTCCTGTGCGGTGTCCTCCTTTATTGGCCAGCTGTTTGGAGGCAGCTGGTCTACTCCAGAGTTTGAACTCTGAGCGAGCTTGACTGCATAATCGAGATGCTGAGCAAGCAAAATGCTTAGATCTGTGGCTAGATAATTATCTCTGCAAATGCCTACTAGAGGTGTGCGAACGTGGGTGTTGCACTTACGGCAGCATGGCTTGCTGGTTCACATGCTTAACGCTCATGCTGTGTTCCAGTGGCCATTCTGGATGGCCGCCAGAAGAGGGCAGAGGAGCTCCGCCGGTTGACTGACCAGTCAGGCACCATGTCAGAGGATCAGTTGACCGAATTGCGTGCAGACATCAAGGTGAGGCTCCCAAGGAACTGGGACAGTCCAACCCTATATGGCCTCAAAGTAACCTTTTGGTGTAATACTTGGATTTCTAGAGTGTGCCATCTGCTAACCAAATCTATTTCACTGTTGGCAGCACTTTGTAAGCGAGCGCAAGTACGATGAGGACCTAGGGAGGGCCGTGAAGTTTACTTATGAGATGGAGCCTCTGAAAAAGAGTATCATGAACTTTGGACAAGGTAAAGCTCTGCATGAGATTAACATGAAGGAACCAACAGGCTCTCCTTGTCAATGCGATGACCCAATGATGACCCTATAAGTCAGTGGTTTTCTGTGTTGTTTCCTGTCAGTGTACCACCCTCAGACTGGTTATTCCAGTCGCTCCCGCTGTAGTTCTGCCGCTTCCTCAGTTACTGGCACAACTTCCCAGGAGGGGCCATCCACACCTCAGCCCCAGTCCTCATCACATGGGGGTCGTATCGTCCAGCCTAGTAAACAGGTAAGTGGCCAACAGTACCATGCATGTGATGCAATTCCACTTTCCGCTGGCAGTACCTGTTCTGATCCGATCATTCTTTTTGTGGGCTAATGCAGAGTAATCAAGGTCACCGGCGTTCTGGTCAAGGGCTCTCGTCTGGGGGTCAGAAGTTCAACAGTGGTGCTCACCAGGATAGGAACCCCAATCGGACAAGCCGACGTAACCCTGATACCTGTGGAGGAGGTCCAAACTTCAGCAGCACCTCGCCATCCTCCCCACTGTACACAGTCTCCACAAACGGTTCCTCTTGGCCCACTTCAGTCACCCCCCAACCAGACCAACCATCTAACAGCCTGCCCCAGAGACCCCCACGGACTCGCTGCCCCTGAGATCACACCCTGCACGTCATTTCCACTCATGCCCCAAAAATATCCCCAACTTCCACAATGAAGGATAGAACTGAAGTTTACATCTTTCCATTTTCTTGAGCTGTAGTGCCACCTATAGGCAACTTTGTTTGTCCTCTAGTTGGGAAAAACCTTTCCCTGCATTCTGCCATATGATCTTCCTCTTCTATTTCCTTTCTGCTGATGGCTATACTTCCCATGCTCTGTCACATCCACAGACCTACATTTGGCTGTGCCCCTCTCCCCCCCCAACCCCCTTACTTTAAAAGCAGTGTCTGCAGGAGCCATTTTATTTTTTTTTGTAAGCCCCTGGCTCCATCAGTGACAGAAGACCTCCCCCCCCCCTTCCACTCTATAGTTGTATGCATCTTTATTTTAGCTTTTGATTTTAGTTTTCCCTGTAGTTTCATTTCCGTTCCTCAATGTTTTTTGCTTTAGTTTGCTTTGCTCTGGTGGACTCTTCATAGTAAATCATAAAGGGGAAGTCAAACTTATTGCTCCGCCATTAGTACCACACTACTGGAAGCTCAGGAATGAAGGAGACGAGCTTTTCTAAACAATCACCTCTCCTCGCCGTCAAGGCCGTGGGTTATGAGCTTAATCTCAGTTCATGCGTGTCTGCTAGTACTGCTTATGCATGATACAAACAAAGGTGGAGAGTGTTTTGTTTCTAATGGAGACAGGTACACATGCTGCAGTTTCACCTGCAGATGGCTCTACAGCTGTTGCAACCCAAACACATGCCTGGGTTTATGTGAAGGCAAAGGCTTTGATCATTGTAGAGCAGAGTAGACAACGTGCACACATCCATTCAATATTTTTTTTTTTCTTTGTCATCCAAGTGCCGTGCTTATTCTGTTCTATAGCAAAAATCTGTTCCCAGAACCCTTTCTTCCAGTTTGCATTATGGCTGTATGTTGAACAAGCTTCCCACACCTGTCAGTGGTGCCAGGGAAAGGTTTTAAAACAAATGTGCATGACAGTAGAAGGAAAGCTGTAGACTGACGCTATGCTTTTTAGCCTGGTGTCGAGAAACTGTTTGCAGTTAATGCTACAAGCTGTTGAGTGGTCAGTTTTACAGAAGCCTGCTTTGAAACGTCATTTGGGCTAGATAGTATGTCGTATGGCTGCAGCAGTGGCAGATACTGACTTTTGGCTCTGATATAGAAGGTAACCATATGTACAAAGTATTGCTAAAATATCTGCTCCTAGTTTTGAAGAACAGTTTTGGTTGACCATGCTGATTGATTTTAGCATCAACCAGTGGCTGCTAAATCGAACCCAACCAGAGATGAGGCGCTTCCTTTGGGAGATGATGGGAACTGATGCCCATGCCCATCAGAGGAAAGTAGCATCAAGTTCTTCGACATGGCAGTGAAACAATCTTGCTCTCTCCCCCCCCCCCCTGCAACTTGGCTTCATTCACATTTCCTACCACTCCTGATGTCTATTATATCGCCCTCTGTGCATTGTAGGTAGGTGTTTGTCTCCTCTGCCAGCTGTGCAGCTGTGTTTTCTGTTGGCTCAGCTTTGTAAATTTCAGAGTTTCGTTTTAAGGTCACCTCAGTCAGAGTTTATGCTGGGCCTGACAGTCCATTCACTTTCATGACTGAAGTAGCCTTTTGGATCATCGTTTAATCTCACTTGGTGCCTCCATACCTTGCCTACTGTCTAGTTCTTGACCGCAGTTGCTACACCGCGCCCCCCAGGGTTATTCAATGTAAATGTAGTAACCTCCAAAGAATCAATGTTATCTGGTTCTAGTTGCTGCCTTAATACTGCCTCTTTTTGGTAAAACTTAATCTTTTTATGGAGGGTTATGATGCTGGACCACCATTTTGAGTCATTCTGCTTGTTTAGCCTAGAATCCACTTTCAAATTTTTTTCACAATTGCATCTATCTTGAATGCTCACTTCACCTTGGGACCTCCGCTACATATAGGATCCTCCTCCTTCAGGACCCCCCCCCCATTGGGACTTACTGCCACAGTGAATCTGAGACGATTGTAAACTAAAGTGCCTTCTCTCCTCTTTGTCCCCCTTCCCTTCTTCATTCTGCTAAACATGGACCAAAGACTCTAAGAGCCTGATTCCCCACATTTTCTCCTCAGCATAAACACAACTTGGACACTGCATAGTCGCTGACATGCCTCTCATTTACTATAATAAAGTGTTAGCAAATGCAACATTTGTTTCTGACTCTTTGTGTTGCTTTAGACCTAAATATATTCATACTGGGTTGGTGAAGTTGCCTTTTTTTATGGGAAGCAATGCACAAACAAAATCATTTGAAATACTGATGGAGATTTGTGGCCAAATAACATAAATGCATATGAAGTATGAGAAACTGCCGTGATGCCTGTGCCGGTGTTTAAAAATCAGAAGTTTGAACTAAAAAATACAATTTTAATCCTTTATGGCAATTTCAATTAACCATTAATTTCATCGGTATACACCACAGGTTTTAGTTCTATGCTATGAAATAAGGGCAAAAAATACTGCCGTAAAAACTTTTAATGGAAACTTGACCTATGTGGGAGCTAAAAGAGACCGTTCATTGAAGTTCTGGTCAGTAGTGTGCTTTGATGTGGACAGAGTGTAACTTGTGCCTGTCTTGGATGTATTGGCCTACACTGACACCCTAAGCAGCTTTGAACGTTGAGGCTTTAATCGGCTAATTCTCACATGCACCTTTTGATTCGGTTAATACCCAGATACAGCCTGCGAGATCTGGCGTCTGGCCTCAGTGAGCATCAAAGCCTTGGTTAACCTTGTGATTTGAACAGTGAGTGACCCTTCTCTTGGCACTCATTTTATTTGGGTTATTTTGTTTCACCAGCTGTAGCATTTAGTAACTGGTCAGAATAACCAGATGCATATGTGACAGATGAATACCTTGATTACCATAATGAGTCTCTAAATTATGCACTGTGCAGTCTGAAATCCCAAGGGAAGCTTCTGTTTATCTTGACCAGACAATGCAATTTTATTTTGTGAATAACGTTTCATAAGGAACCCTGTTGAGTGTGAGCAAATTTAAACAACTTTAGGCAAAGTATGTATATCAGATTTCATAGGTACTATAGAAAAAAATATACACATCTAACATTTCAGCACTATGATTTGTCTTCTGTCAGTACTCTAAATACAATGTTAAATTGCTGATACTGAATTTCACATGGATTATGGCCTAGATCAGGGGTCTCCAACTCCAGTCCTGGAGAGCTACTATCCAGTAGGTTTTCTATCCTACCTGGCTTCTGATGAGCCGCACCTGTTCTCAGGTAAATACCAGGAGCAGGTGTGGCTCATCAGAAGCCAAGTGGGACAGAAAACCTACTGTATAGTAGCTCTCCAGGACCGGAGTTGGAGACCCCTGGCCTAGATTCTATGAGAAGCTGTACTGCAACTGAAAGGGTAATAATTGAATTGACAAACGTGCATACTAGTGATAAAAAGGTGAATTCCCCTTTTTAACTGGGTAAAATTAATTTTACTGAGACAAACTCCCAAAATAAGGATTCCCAATGCCTTCCGATTTCATAGAAATGTTAACAGTAGCAAGCTTTTATAGACTGATATCTGTGATCCTATTAAAATGTTATTCTCATGTAAAACCTCTGCCTATTGTATTTTTTTCCTTGGTTTGCATAATAGCAAGAAATTCAAACAGTGAATAACAGCATGTTTGTGAGTCCGAGCAGCCCCTATTGCCGTATAAGGAATAATCTGAGCATGTAACAGAGGGGCCAACCAAAAGCCTGGCTTTGAAGTGTGGGAGCTTCCTGGTATATTTAGTGTTTCTATGTGCCAGTCTGTTGTAATGTGCAGACTATGTAGAAGCGATTCATTCAATCACATGTTTTTGGACTGTGGGAGGAAACATAGGAATTGAACCCACACTTGAGAAACGGAGCTATGGTCCCGCAATGTTGCCACATCTCCTAATAACATAATTTTTAAATTAAAAAAAATCCGTTTCCCTTTCTCCACCAGTGACTACCAGTTATTTGCCTTCTAGACAAACTGGAATTTGGATTAACAAGTTAGAATTTACTGTACTTGATTATGAGCTGACAGACCAGCCCTCAATTTTGCACTTCACCAGTAATAAATATGTGAATAGGTGAAGAATATTGCTGAATTACAATCAGCTAGCTAACTTTCAGATAGAGAAACACAACAAGCTTTCCTGGCAGCAGCAACTGATGAGAATCCATCTCTCACTTCCCACACTGAAAGCAAATATCCAGATGGTCAAGATCCATCCTCTTCCAGTATAGCCTACAGGTTGTATAGGCGTAGATTTGGGTGGACGGAAGGGAGATGTCCCAACAAATATTGTAGGAGTATCATGTCTTTTTAGGAGGGTGGGGGGTTTCGGGGCTGATTTAGCTCCAAGATGTGTGCAAACCAAACCTACGCACTTGCAATGTCTTTCAGGAAGCACTACGCACAAAGCAGTAGACATGCTGAGTGGGATTCTTTCAATGCTCATCTGATGGCTGTTTATATCTTTGGAAAATCTCTGATTTTAGCCACTCAAAAATGTGTATAAAGGCTAGATGAGACTGATTGGTGATGATTATATAATGGTAGTATATTTAAATATTCACACAACGTACTCAACGTACACAAGACATTGTACTCAATGTCTGCCTGACAGTAAAAATACAGTTAACTGGTATAGATAATATGTCCAGGCTAAGATAAATAAATGGTAAATGGACTGCATTTATTTAGTGCTTTTTACTATGCTTATGAGTACCAAAGTGCTTTACAATCTATGCCTCACATTCACACACTGGTGGTAGAGGCTGCCATGCAAGGCGCCAACCAGCTCACCGGGAGCAATTTGGGGTTCAGTGTCTTGCTCAAGGACACTTCGATGGGGTCAGGAGGACCCGGGGCTCGAACCTGCAACTCTCCAGTTGCTGAACGGTAGCACTGCCTCCTGCACCACCATCGCCACACAAAGTGCAGAAATACAGGGTTCCTTTGTAGCTATAATACTTGTATTTTTTGATGTTAAGAAATGGTATAGACTGTGAACATGAAAATTTCTCTATAGTATATTCCTATGTGATTGTTATGCAAGTTATTGCTTCTATGCAAATGTTTTTGCGATGCTCGTATTCGACCACGGGGTGTCAGTGTTGGGAAACATCTGCTTCGCTGCTGTTTCGTCAACTTTGCGGAAGCAATGAGTACTGGTGTAAAATACTTAATGATTTTGAATAAGCACGAGAATTCGCATGGGGGTGTATACTATAATAATTTCTACTGTACTGTGTCATTGGGATGTGGAGGAGAAAAAAAAATTGCAGCTTTCTGGAATTTCATACGGCCCCTCCCTTACACATTCATCTAACCGTATTCACTGTCATTACGAAATTAGTCATCAGGCTCCATAAATAGTATAATGTTCACTTCCAGAATTGACATTATCTTTTGAGAAATTAACCTCAGCATGTTTTAACGTTAGGAAAAATACTGCTTTAAGATATATTTATGTTGGACCCATGAACCTGCCGAAAAAGCAGATTGGTAACAGATGGATCTACTTATGCAGGCTGCAAGTTTTTCCGGAATACATTAGTCTCGTGAAAACCCATAAATGGCTTCTGAATGTGAGAACTAGTAGCCATCTAAAAGTGAAATGGCAAAAATATAGGTATAATTACGTGAATTAGTATAGTATTGGAAGACCAGCTATGGATGGATGGATTTTTGTATGCAGACATTGCACTGCTTTTTCCTTGACATTGACTGAACAAGAAAATCCAGCTCATAGCTATGATCTCTAAATTGTATGGCTGTCAAATTTACTTCAATCACTGTAGATAAATGGGAAAAGACTGATTTAAAGAAGCATTTTTATGACTTGAGTAAACTGAGGCACAGATTAAACAAGTAAAGAGGAATTAGTATATATATACAGTATATATATATATATATATATATATATATATATATATATACACACACACACACACACTCTCTCTCTCTTATACTATATATACTATATATATATGTACTTCAATACTGCCCCTGTGTATCAGGAGCGATCCATGTCACAAGGAATGTCACTGACAGTTGTTGAGGCCCTGCCCCAAAGACCTGATGCCGTTTTGAGTTAAAAGGAGGTGCAGTGCAATATCTGGAATAGAACACTGAGCGCATATTACCATTTCCTAAGTATTGTGAAAATGAAAAAAATAAGTCTTTAAAAATTCCATCACTTTTACTGGATTATTCACAAAGGTGTTTTTGTAGACAGTACCTCATTCCTTTTAACAGATTTTCCTCCGAGTTGTATATGCAGTGCTTACAAAAAGTCTTGTAATCCTATAAAATGTTGCAGATGTATTGGTTTTGTAACAAGTCCATTGACAAGCAATGTTTAACATATCAGCACATATTATCTACACAGACATTTTCTTTTTAAGTGTCGCAATTTTTTTGACTGACTCATTCAGTTCTGTTCTTGCCATTTTACTATTAATAGCAAGATTTTTATCATTGCAATGTTGTTACTAATTAAAAAACACCCAATGAGTTTTATCTAAAGAGTAAACAAAGTATGAAAACAAAATATGAAATGTCTTATGTTCAGGTTGAATATGTAGAATTTTTAAAAAATATTCTTATAAATATGCAGATATACTACTTTCACACATTTTGGATGGTGTCTTACTTGTGTTCTTTGTTCTCCAAACTTTGTGACCTTACGACCTTGGACTGCTTGCTTTTCATATGGCGCCATCATGTTAGGTCTAAGCAAAGAGAGTCTTCTGAAAAAACACTGGAATGTGTATTTGGGTTGGGAAGCTAAGGAAACATTATCCTTGTGGAATGAAAGGAACCTAAACACTTTTCACAGACCCAAGAGTGCTCATCTCTTCATTTTCATTTGTTTCATACTTCAGGTGTTATATCTATTATACAGTAATCACTGTGAACTCAACCATCTCCAGAGCTGGTGATTTCCAGCAAAATCCAACACGACTTACAGTAACTACAATCACAAGAGAGCCCCTATTCCCATTGTATGGTATAATATATGGACCTTCTAAAATTCCATTAATTCTGTCACAGTGTGCCCTGCAGCAGTATTTCTCAACTGTAGTCATGGACCATGTGGTTAAAAGCGTGTGGTTAAAAATCACCAAAACCCCCCAAGTTG